CAGAAAAAAGGTTTAAAAATCAGCAAAGGCTTACAAACCAGCAAGCAAAAAAGACATTGTTGGTTCGTAACTACAGAAGATACCTTCCACTGGGCCCCTCCAGAAGGCAAGTGACAAGAGGACTTCTACTACTAACTTTAACTTGCTCGACTAGGAGCATAGCTCTTTTGTAGATGTGATTGTGTCGATCACCAGAATCCACCATCCCATTGAGTCTGCATACATAACAGAAATATCAAAATCAAGGCTGGTAAATCAAAATCCAGAGGTAACAGCAATACATGCGTGCCAAGTGGTCGATGGAAATATAAATGGATTAGACAGGCAACAACAGAAAGTACAGGAGTAAATTTGAGTAATTACGGATAAGCAAACAATAAACACTAGGAACGAGTCCTTTATCTAACGTGAGACGAAACTTTGGCTCCAGGGACCAGTCCAGATCAAACTCCAAAGTCACCCTCTAATTACAATTTTAGAAATCTAAGGGAATTGCCTAAAGAGATAAGAAAAGCAGCCCCTAGGTAACTAATTAGAACTGCATTTTCAATTAAAACACAGGATAGAAGAGAATTAAGTTTGGCTTTCAAAATAAATATCAGCATATCTCAAGTGCAAAAGGTGTATTCTATCAAGAAATATCCAAAATCGTCAAGACCACCGCACACTTATTAAAAAAATTACCTGCAGCGTTCCAGGTCATCTGTGGAGGCTCCAAAGGCAGGCTGAACTTCATGGATAGCATGGAGGAAATCCTCCATAGTGATCTTGATATTTTCTTCTTCCACTGGCTTAGTAAGATCATCCATGCTCAATTGTCTGTTTAACGCATACGATGTAGCACTTTTAACAACACCTTCAAGCTCCGCACCACTGTAATTTTTTGTTCGAGCAGCTGCCAGACAATAGTGATATATTATGTCAGAGACACATTTCATTCTAATAACTAATTAGTTCAAAGATAAAGACTGAATTTCGTAGATCTTCCTGTTACAGTATAAAAGAGGATTTTGAAAAGAGTTTTATATCTGTCAATCAGTGAAGTGGTGATACTTGGAACAAAATAGGTCTACCAAATATTCCATGATTTGAAAAGTATAAATTATGAAGCCATACCAAGCTCTTGGAGATTGATATCATTTCCAAGGAAAGAATTTTCCTTCATCTTGTTTGTATGAATCTGAAGAATTTGTAGGCGGCCAGCTTCATCAGGAAGGCTTATCTCAACTTGAACCTCTAATCTTCCAGGCCTATAGTAAAAAAAATAAAAACAAAAGTTCTAAAGTCGCATGTATTACTCATTCTAAAAGTTCATATAAGTAGCAAATACGCTTTGTATGGTATCTTCTCAAATGAACAATAAAGGAAACTAAGATATAAAAAGTACATCAAAATATTCAAAAGTATAAAGCAATGGCAGCGCTATCTATTAGCACAAGGATAGAGATACCTTAAAAGAGCTTCATCAAGCAAATCCTTTCTGTTTGTCATTCCAATAAGCAAAACATTGTTCAAGGCCTCCACACCATCTATCTGGAAAAAAAGTGTTAGCCACTTCCGTGAACAATCCAAATAAGCAGACAATAACTTAATCTTTGACTGACCTTTGTCAAAAGCTGGTTTACAATACTATCATGGACACCTGTGCCATCTCTGGTTGACCCTCTTGACTGAAAGTCACAAAGCATACAAGTTTTAATTTACTGTTTAAACTCATATAACCAGCAAGTCCCATGAATATTATCAATATCCAAAATCCAGAGCAAAATCTAGCCACATAATATAATTAATGAGGCTATTCGTCAACATAAAAAGCATATTTACAACTTCAAATTAGCAAATTGCATCTCCTGTACCTTACAAATAGCATCAATTTCATCAAAAATAATGACATGCAACTCACTAGCATCACCTGAAAATGAAAATAAGATTGCCCAATTAGTATGTGCCTAAGAAAAAGAATACAAACACACAGTCAGGGAAAATAATATTTTCCTTACCAAGGGTCCTCTGGTCTTGCTCAGCATCAGCAAATAAGTCTCGCACATTTTTTTCTGTCTCACCAACAAACTTGCTCAGCACCTCAGGACCATTGACGATCTATTACACCAACAAAAGAACAACAGAAGCAGTGAATCAACTAAGAAACTACATAATCAACCATTAAAAGGAAGTAAGCAATTGTAGCAAAGAATTAAAATAGAGTCTGAAGCTGCCAATTTATGAAGAAAATTGTGAAAATTAAGCAGTCGGTATCAGGTTCTTGCAAAAGGTGGACTTCTAACTAGGGTGACAAGTTTCATCACAAAACGATCAGAAATACCTTTGGATCCTTTCCATTCAGCATCTTTCCAATTTGCCGGGCCATCAGGGTTTTGCCTGTCCCAGGAGGTCCAAAAAGAAGCATCCCCTTAACGTGCTTAATCCCCAGTCTGCAAGATCAATAAAAGCAAACTTTAGATTGTAAATGTATACAGAATACAGTCTAACATTTGCTTGAAGAATGAATCACAGAACCTGCTCGTGACATGAGGAGGAAATACACGAGAAGCAAAAGCTCTTCTAAATATATCAGCAAACTCTGCACCCAGACCACCTATGCCCAGCGACTCAAGGTTAAATTCCTTATGTTTAAATATATTGCTGCTAGCAGCTTCCCGTTGGTTGACAATCTGCATAAAAACTTATGAGTCTGAAATGATGATACAACATAGGAATCCATATTTGTTCCCATATATTAGCAAACATCAAATATTATATACTGTTATAAATGTACGCTTGAACCATCATTTAATAGGATTTCTTAGAGTAACTGATTCAACAACACGTAGCTCTACAGAATTCATCGAAATCAGACCTTTATGCCACTTGCGTTTGATGCTTCAAACACAATATATGTATCTGGACAGAGCATCCCTCTTTCGATGCCATTAGATTGATCCTGGCCCTCTACATCCGCTCGATTGACCGTAAGAATGTAATTAGTTCCATGATACTCAAATGTTGCTTTCTGGCCAACAGTCATGACCTGCGGCAGTGTGCGTTGTTTCAATCAATATGCATTCACTAAACACCAATGCTTCAGCAGAATTATAGTGTAAATGACAAGATCCATGCACACGTTGCTTCAATTGGAAAATATAATACCAGCTAATCTGTTTTATAAAGAATTCAATGTTTAGGCATCATCGTTTCTCTCATTTTCCTCTTAGATGCATGCTTAAATCACAGCACAAGACTCATGTATCTTCAGAAACCGAACACGTAACAAGAATAGAGACAGCAGAGAAACAATCTCTCTACCTGGTTGGTGTATTTCCTCTTAAGTTGGGTTGAAAGGAGAGCAGCATCAACCTGCGAAGTAATATTGTACAGAGAAGTTGAATTCAACCACAGCCTCTAAAGATCCCAAGAAACACATCATAGACAGATATCAACAAACCTGCTCGCTTTTAGTCCCTTTCTTTACAAATTCCAACTCGAGCGTCAGCATAGCCAGATCAAATTTTTCTGGAGGAACAAATCTGCAAGAGCAAGCCGATCTTTAGAAATCAAAAAGTCTTGAGGCGACGAAGAATATGTTGAAAAGCTGTAAATGCAAATTACCTGCTAACAGATACCATGTCACCAGTCGAAACTCTAGCATGCCGCCGTTGGATAGCATTCAACGCAAGATTTCCATCACGGATGCTTCCATGTCCAGTAATTACCAGTTAAGTCCACACATATAGAAAGAAAATAGCTCTAGAAGTGATTAACACGAAGGACAAAGTTTCAATGACTAATTAAACAGTTAAACACCCAAAAAACCCAGATTTTTTTATCATCCATGAAACCCAGAAAAAACCCAAACTCATAATTGATCTAAATCATGACGTTTATAGATCATTCCAGCATAACTAAATCGGCTGATATTCGAATTCCAAATCCGGAAAATCAAAATGGGTCATTTCACATAGACAATCAACACATGATACTGAATTTCGCAATGTAATGAATCAAATGGATCGTCGAAAAGAGCAAATGTTAAATAGAAAAGGATATCAGAGAGACAAAATGAAGCTGTCGGCAACGTTGGCGAGGAAGAGATCGGAGCCGGGGACGGAGAACTGACGGAGATCGGAAGAGGAGCAGTAAGCGAGGTTAGTGAAGGCTAGATCTGCTGACGGAGTATTAGTCACCGTCATCGTCGTGACCTGTGATCCGTGACGACCCGCCATGGCTGATTGGCTGTTTCGATCTCAAGCTTGATTTTGAATCCTTCGCGAAGAAGATAAAAGGAAACAGATGATGATAAGGAGATTTGAAATATTTGTATCGCTTTGAAAGACTTTTATGAGATTAAAAGGTAAGCGCGTCGTCTCTGTCCTATGATCCTCAATTCCTGATTTCTACTACTTTTTTTTTGATAACTTATTTCTGTACAAATCAAAATTTGAGTTTAATTAGATTAGTTAAAAAGTTGAATTTTTCTGCCATTGTTGTTGTTCTGCGCCAAACCAAAGATAATTAAGCGAGTTATCAAAATTAATTTCATAAACGAATGTACAATTTCCCCATCAGAAGACCAATCACAAAGAAGCAAAAGTGTATTTAAAAATTTCCATAAACTTGAGTTTTTTTTTTTGTAACATCTCCATAAACTTGAGTTGAGTGTAATTTCTTCAACTTTTTTATAATTAGTGTATTAATCAAAATCAGTAAAATTGCAAAGAAACTAATAAAATAGAGAGAAAGTCCCCACGGCGTTCTGATCACTCCTCACCGTGTTTTTCATTCCCTTCTTCCCGGCGACGACTGTGACTCAAACCCTAATAAAAAAAATTGCATTTTTGATTTGGGTTTTTGGAATTTTCCCCGCACTAAGTCTTGTTAACCCCACTAACTCTCTTTCTCTCTCTCTCTCTCTCTAACGCACAGTGCTTTCTGTCGCCTTCACTCGCGACTTTTTGACACTCTGATTTTTATAAAGATTAGGGTTTTGTTGCTTTCTCGCTGACATGAATCAGCAACTGCCGGAAGTTTCTTTGGGTAATAGCGCTGGAGCAAACATTGAGGCTCCTGCTACTGAGGAAGGAGAAGAAGAAGTGCAGCAACAGCAACCGCAGCAGCACCAGCAGGAGGAGGAGGAGACTGAATCTGCTAGGGATCTAATTGTCGTCGATCAGAAACCGCTTGAAAAACCAGCAGACGGAGAGAAAGAAGACGATCAGATGGAGGTTGATCCAGTGAGTCCAGCCACAGTTTTCTCCGTCAAGCTTAAGCAGCCCAATTCCAATTTGCTTCACAAGATGAGCGTCCCTGAATTGTGCCGTAATTTCAGGTTTGACTCTTTCTCCGATGATCCAGCTTTCAAACTTATCAAATCATTCAAATTTTCCTGCTTTTTTGGTTGCCAGTGCCGTTGCGTGGTGTGGCAAATTGAATGCTATAGCTTGCGCTTCCGAAACCTGCGCCAGGATTCCAAGGTTTGATTTTTTGTTACTATTCTACATCTTTTAGTCTTGGGGATGAATTTTCTCATTTTCATCTTCCACTCTTCTCTTGCAGCTCCAAGGCAAATTCACCCTTTTGGATCCCAATACATATCTTAATACCGGAGCGCCCAACCGAGTGTGCGGTGTTTAATGTTGTGGCAGGTATTTCGATACCACTTGAACTTTGTTGCTCTATAAACCAGAGTTTTGATTCTGATTATGATGCGATTATGTTTATGTAGACTCTCCTCGTGATTCTGTCCAATTTATCGAATGGTCTCCCACTTCTTGTCCTCGTGCGTTGCTCATTGCTAATTTTCATGGACGGATAACAATCTGGACGCAGCCTACTCAGGTTAGTGCTCCTCATCACTGGGATTCACTATTGATTCGTCTGTATAGTTCTTCTGTATCTTATTCTTTTGATTTCTCACTTGTGTCAAGATGTTTACCACACAAATTTTTTTATCTTGATTGGTCTTGCAGGGTTCGGCTAATCTAGTGCACGATGCTACCTCCTGGCAGTTAGAGCATGAATGGCGTCAGGATATTGCTGTTGTTACAAAGTGGCTGGCAGGGGCTTCTCCAGTAAGTAATTTGATTTTTTGCTGACATTCTATTGTTTGCATGACATGTTTGTGCCCTCATGAGTTCATTAAATGGGGAATGCATGTGAGAGTGGTGAATGGAATTACTAAATCACGAGTAACTAAACCTGAAATGTCTCTTTGTCTTGGAAGAAATAAGATGGAGTAACTTAACTGATAGATATTAGCTCTGTTTGTGAAATTAGTAGGCTCCTTAAAGATCTTCCAATTGCATTATTCAGATGCGTTTCTATGATGTGATCAGCATGAACACATAAAGAATAAGTAAAGGATAGATGATGATGCCATTGCAAAGTACATTTTCTGAGGGAGTAATATCATGTTGTTAATCGTTTTTCGGTTGGAAATTTATTCTGTTTTTTTTTTTTTTTTTTTTTTTTTTTTTTCTGGAAAATCAGTATAGGTGGTTGTCCTCCAAGCCAAGCTCTGGTACAAATTCAAAGTCAACTTTTGAGGAGAAATTTCTCTCGCAGAGCTCAGAAAGCTCAGGTTTTCTTCTTCTCACTTCTTGTATCCTAGTTTTTATTGATATACTTAGAACAATGCACTTGACTATATCAGTTTCTTTGACATACCTGTACATGTGACAAGTACATGTGACAAGATCTCTGCAACATGTTATGCTTTCCATGTTTTGGCTTTGGTACATTTTCCTCCACTTTCTGTGACGGGTCTGATTATTGACCTTTTGTTGCAGCTCGGTGGCCAAACTTTCTCTGCGTATGCTCTGTTTTCTCATCCGGCTCTGTTCAACTTCATTGGTCCCAGTGGCCTTCTAACCAGGGTGGTACTGCACCAAAGTGGTTTAGTACAAAGAAAGGCCTTTTAGGTGCAGGCCCTAGTGGGATTATGGCTGCTGATGCTATCATAACAGACAGTGGTGCCATGCATGTAGCAGGGGTTCCAATTGTAAATCCCTCAACAATTGTAGTATGGGAGGTGACACCTGGCCCTGGAAATGGACTCCAGGCGACTCCGAAAATCTCTACAGGCAGTCGTGTGCCACCATCCCTTAGTTCTTCCTCTTGGACAGGCTTCGCTCCTTTAGCTGCGTACTTGTTCAACTGGCAAGAATACTTGATATCTGAGATAAAGCAAGGGAAGAAACCCACAGATCAAGACTCCAGTGATGCTATATCGCTTAGCTGCTCGCCGGTTTCCAATTTTTCTGCTTATGTAAGTCCAGAGGCTGCAGCTCAGTCTGCAGCAACCACTACATGGGGATCTGGAGTTACTGCTGTTGCTTTTGATCCAACTCGTGGTGGTTCGGTGATAGCAGTTGTTATAGTTGAGGGTAATTTCTCATCTTTATCTGAACATCATACTTTTTGCATGATAGAAATAAAAAAATTCAGTTTTATATCGAGTTATTGATCAATCATATAGAAATGCTCATAAGTTGAAGAACTGAGCTGCCATCTGAAAAATTTAAATGCTAATTGAATGTTCAGTCTGTTCATTTGTCTGGTGAAGCACAACAGGTTCAGTCAAATCTTTAAAATAATTGCTAAAGCTGAGTGCATTTTGATTTCATGTCCTCAAGATGCTTATTTATAGTTATTTACGTCTGCAGGTCAGTACATGTCCCCGTATGATCCAGATGAAGGTCCTTCAATCACAGGCTGGAGAGTACAGCGCTGGGAATCAAGTGTTCAACCTGTTGTGCTGCATCATATATTTGGAAGTCCAACTTCGAATTTTGGAGGACAGGTCCCCACTCAGACTGTCTGGGTATCCAGAGTTGATATGAGCATACCACCTACACAAGATTTTAAGAATCATCAAGTAGCTGCTGCAGGACCAAGTGTGGATGCACAAAAGGAGCCTGATTCTGGTGATGACAAGACTAACAAGGTTGTTTTTGACCCTTTTGATTTGCCAAGTGATATTCGTACACTTGCACGGATTGTCTATTCTGCTCATGGTGGTGAAATTGCGATTGCTTTTCTACGTGGTGGAGTTCATATCTTTTCTGGTCCAACATTTTCACCCGTTGAAAACTATCAAATAAATGTTGGTTCAGCAATTGCTGCACCTGCTTTTTCTCCAACAAGCTGCTGCTCGGCTTCTGTATGGCATGATGCTGCCAAGGACTGTGCAATGTTGAAAATTATCCGTGTTCTTCCTCCTGCCCTTCCACGTAATCAATCAAAGGTTGATCAATCAACATGGGAGCGGGCGATTGCTGAGAGGTAGTTCATCTCTGTTTGCTTACAAAGGAAGTTTTATGGTTGATTGACATGTTGATATGACGGTGCACTTTGTTTGAACAGGTTCTGGTGGAGTCTTTTGGTCGGTGTTGATTGGTGGGATGCAGTTGGCTGTACACAAAGTGCTGCAGAGGATGGCATTGGTATAATTTTTGGTGCCCTTAAGTTTCTTAATTTCAATGTTGTTTAAATTTTGCACTCAGAAATTACCTTTTAAAAAAAAGGTTTGAAACAACCATTGCTTATTATTGCTTAGAAAATGATCTCATTTTATGTTTTAGATTATAGTTTGGCGCTGGCTCTTCTAGTTTTAATAGCTCATTTGCTAATTTGTTGACAAAAAAAAAAAAAAGCTTTGAATGATAGAGAGCATAGTGGTTCAAATGTTATACTATCTTGTTTGGATGGTAGACGGATGAAAGCATCAGATGACATGTTTCCTTTTCTTGATGATTCCAGTTTCACTGAACAGCGTGATTGCTGTCATGGATGCTGATTTTCACTCACTTCCTTCAACACAGCACAGGCAACAATATGGTCCTGTATGTTTTTCTAAACTCGTATCCAACTCATTAATCTTTGAATTCTTTGGTTGGCGGTACCATTCGTTATGCCTTCATAAAAGTTGGTTTAACTTGTTCTCTGATTTTGTTTTTCTTCATAATACAGCTGTATAGAGCTACTCTATTACATGAACATGTAGACCCTATTTTGTGCTGGGTCTCTTGTTCGACTATATGATAGCATAGCTTTATACAGCTACATCACCACAAAAAACAAAACAAAAATAAACTGAAATGTGAACAATTGCCTGAAGTGATCTGATTTTGGATTGCTTGAGTAGCTGATCTGGATACAATGCATTTGATTTTAAGAAGCTGAACTTACTCTTGGCAGTCTATTGTCCTCTTGTAATGCTTTGTGTTTTTTGGTTTGTTCCAATGTTTGATAAGAACTTGTATTTTTATGGTCTTCAGAACCTAGACAGGATCAAATGTCGGTTGCTTGAAGGAACCAATGCTCAGGAGGTTCGTGCCATGGTTTTAGATATGCAAGCGAGATTGTTGTTGGACATGCTCGGAAAAGGAATTGAATCAGCTCTTGTGAACCCTTCGGCGTTGGTTTTTGAGCCATGGCGAGCTGATGGGGAGACGATATCAGGCATCAATCCTGAGGCAATGGCTGTTGATCCTGCTCTTGTTTCCAGTATTCAGGTATCTCTACCAACAAGTCTGAGGTTTTTTCTTTTAATGAAATATGGATTCAAGGACAAAAATCTGGGAAGAGTTTATGCAGCAGTGTTATCATTTAAAGAGTTGTTGGTCTTTGTTGTGTTAGTTTTGCTGATGTACCTTACTTCTTGCTCATTACAATCAGCCCAGACACGCTGTATTTGGATTAGATTTGGTTAATTTGTATTATACAATTTAAGTTAGCGAATTTTTCTAGAGAATTTTTCCATGAAATTTATCTGATCATGGATCACATATCACTGAACTGAATATGATATATAGACCATTAGTTTCCAGTTGCTAGTTTTCCTGATTTTCTCTAATTATTTTTTCGTTTCTTATCCAGGCTTATGTGGATGCTGTTCTTGATCTTGCTTCTCATTTCATCACACGTTTAAGACGCTATGCGAGTTTTTGTCGGACACTTGCGAGCCATGCTGCTTCCGCTGGAACTGGCAGTAATCGCAACATGGTTACCACTCCCACACAAAATGCATCATCTCCTGCACCACCAACTCCGGGTCAGTTTGCTGTTTATTTTGTCATGTCTAACTTTCTCCAGCAATCAAAGATAAGGGAAAGGGTACATAGCAGTAGAAAATGTCACTGTCTTGCAGGTTTGGTGATAATACAAAACACAAGTTTTGTCCTAGAATTATTGAATATTTTACAAGCTTCTTAGATTTTCCTCTTGTCTGTAAAATTTAGCGCATAGTCAAACTATTTTTTTCTGCATAGGTTATGGGAGATCCAATTGGTTATCTTTGCTGCTGGGCTTGGCTTTGTCTCTTGTAGCGTTGTAACTGATGGAAATCCCAACTCTTCTATGTGCAGTTCTTCCTGAAAAGACACCGAATAATGCAGCAGGGCAACCTACGACTACTACAAACTCCAGTGGAAGCACACCAATGCAAGCTTGGATGCAGGGTGCCATAGCGAAAATCAGTAGCTCAAATGATGGAGTACCAAACTCTACTGCAAGCCCAATCAGTGGTTCACCACCAACCTTCATGCCAATAAGCATCAATACAGGAACATTTCCAGGAACGCCTGCTGTTCGGCTCATTGGAGACTGTCATTTCCTTCATCGGCTATGCCAGCTGTTGCTCTTCTGTTATTTCCAACGGTCACAGGCTTCGCGAAATCCCCAGAGAAACGCTGATGTTACTTCACAAAAACTTCAAACAGGGGCCACCAGCAAGTTGGAAGAGGTCAACTCTGCTAAACCAGCCACCTCTACCTTGAATAGGATAGAGGAAGCCCAGGGGTTCCGGACTTCCCCGTTGAGTGCTGGAGTGAAAGGGATTGATGAAAATTCTGCTCGTACAACAAAGATGGGTTCTGGGAATGCCGGTCAAGGATATACTTTTGAGGAGGTAGGCACCTGATTCCTGGATTCACTTTACTTTTATACAACTATCCGTGGAACCCTTTTGTTGTTACCTCCAAAGTAGAGGCTTAAGCTGATTAGAATGGGTTAGAGTAATGGAAGGACTCGAGATCTTGAAACAAAGAAAACAAAATGCCATGTTGATAGTTCAATAATCTAGAAAGATTCTTTCAGTGACAGAATTAAGTTGACTAGTTACGCTTTGATCTTCCAGGTGAGAGTGCTTTTCCATATACTAATGGATCTCTGCAAACGAACATCTGCTCTTGCGCATCCCTTACCTGGTTCTCAGGTAGGTAGTGGAAACATCCAAGTTCGACTCCACTATATTGATGGAAATTACACTGTGTTGCCTGAAGTGGTCGAAGCGGCTCTTGGACCACATATGCAGGTACTCTGTGCTTATTGTGAAACAAAATAAGCTGTCTATTTGTTTGTTGGCGCTACTTGATCAACTACAGGATGAACTGATATCTTTTACCCTGATTTCTGATAAAGAACTTTTTTATGAAAAAATTGAATAAACAGAACATGCCTCGTCCAAGAGGAGCTGATGCTGCCGGTCTTCTACTACGGGAGTTGGAGCTTCATCCGCCATCCGAAGAATGGCATAGGAGAAATTTGTTTGGTGGTCCCGGCTCAGAGCCTGAGGATTTGGTCCCGTCAGATGATACTTTCAAGCAGGGTCATTTCTTGGATCTGCCTGATGTATACGACAGAGTCCAAAGCATTTGGCCAAGAAAACGCAGAATGTCAGAAAGAGATGCGGCTTTTGGCTCAAATACTTCACTGGGTTTGGGTGCATATCTTGGAATCATGGGTTCTCGTAGGGATGTTGTCACCGCTACATGGAAAACTGGCCTTGAAGGAGTTTGGTACAAGGTAACATAATCCTTCAAATCCCTTTGTTACAGTAGAAAAGTCTTCCGTTACATATTGTAACATGATTGTTTTGTTTATCACACAGTGCATAAGATGCCTACGCCAGACATCTGCATTTGCTTCACCAGGTGCTTCTAAGCAGCCAAATCCCAATGAACGAGAGACATGGTGGACCAGCCGTTGGGTTTATTGCTGCCCCATGTGCGGTGGAACGTGGGTCCGTGTTGTATAGAGGATCAAGCGAAATGCCCATCTACTATATCGGGTTGGTCGAATATATAGTTAACTTAAGGAGTGCAAAACCAAACCAATGGGCTAAACAGGTAAAAAAAAGTAGGTTAGCTTACGCACTGAACACGGCAATTTTATCCTGTTACTCCTAATCCCCATTCTCGGCGAACCGTGACATCTGAACACTGTCCAAAATATAAGTCTTGAATGGAGTCGGAAGCGAGATTCAGAGTGTGTGCGCTGAAATGGGTTTTGATGTATAGTAGTTTCCTAATTGTTTGTAGATTTGCATTCAGGCTGTAACCACATTCTTTGATATTATAAGCCAGGGATGTAGTAGTGACATGTTATTGGTTTCTGTTGTAGAATTGATGATGGTGATGATGTAGTAGAATCCATGAAGGCAAAGATTGTGTTTGTCAAGAAAAGTTTTTTTTTTTTTGACGTCTAGAAAAGTTTATTTAATCGTTGACTTTTGACTCCAAAGCCAGTTGACTTTTGACTCTCGATTTTTTGTTACTTTTTTTTTCAATCAACTACTAATATTATGGTTACCACTATTCCATAGTATTTCTTAAATGGGTCAAAATCAACCTATGAGAATAAAAGAGATAAATTTCTATATATGAAGAATGAGAGTGAAGACATGCAATGACATGTTGAAAATAGTGAGAAAGTGAAAACAAGGGGAAAGTCAGAAAGAGTCAATTTTTTTCGTAATAGATGTTTAGAAAAAAATTGTACGATATTTGATATTCTGTAGATAAAAAGCTATTTATCATACGTACAAGACGTTGCTGTTCCATTCATTCTTTGAGCATATTCGTCCTCGACCATTTCTAAATAGATTAAGATGTTTGTTTGGTATGTTATAGTGTATAATTAATGATAATTAGGACGGCCTTAACGGCATGATTTGACGCCAAATTTGATTGAAACTTTTTTTTTCCCAAAATTATGACCTGAACGGAATGTGGAGGTAATTTTTTAAGAAAAAAATTTAGGCCAGAAGAAACCATGTCAACATCTCATGAATGTTTTTTTATAGAGTTTGTTTCTTTGTGAATGTAATTTGTAAATCAAATTAAGAGAAACAAACACTAAAAAAGCAAGGCTGTAAATTACTAAATAAGTTCTTGGCATAACCTCCCCAATCCTATTATAGTGAAACCAATAAAAACAAGAAAAAATAACAAATCATTAAAAAATCACCAATTATAGTAAACCAAAACAAAAACTGCATATTATTATTGGCTAATTGTGTCTCTCACACACGTGCATGTGCACGTGCAACTTCTTCTCATTGTTTCTATCATTGGGAATCTCTGCACCGTCTCCTAAATTGCACCTCCAACCAAAATCTCTCTTTGTCTCTCTTCTCTCTCTATTTTTCTTTCTCTCTCGTCGTCGTCTCACCGGAAAAAAAACACAAAAAAGACGAAGAAGAAGCCGACGGGAGAGACAAAGGAATAAATAAGAATGGGGAAAGGAGGGCGTGATGAGAGAATATCAAAGGAAGAAGAAAGAGAAGGAGTCATGGCTACAGATTTCTTCTGGTCATACACTGATGAGCCTCACGCTTCGAGAAGACGTCAGATTCTCTCTCGTTATCCTCAGATTAGAGAGCTCTTTGGTCCTGATCCATGGGCTTTCCTCAAGGTCCTTTCCTTTTTCTACCATTGTTGGATCTCTGATTTTATTTCTCTCTTTTTTTTAGGGCATCTTTTCGTTTGTTTTATTCTTCATTCTTTGAAGATATTATTATTAACCACATATGTGAATTTTCTTTGCTCCGTTAACTATTAGGGTTTTTCTTTTTCTTCGGTCCGGTTTGGATTATTTCAAGTTTTTTCTTTCTTTTTTTTGGATTTTGATGAATAAGTTTTTTTGTGGGTTTCGGAGTTTGTTATTGAGTCTTGACTAAACTGAATTTTCTTTCGTTTCGGTTTGGAACTTTTTAAATTTAAAATCTGTTTGGATTAAGATTAAGAAAATAATAATCATGTTTATATTTTCTTTCTATATTTGAATGTATTTTTGTACATGAGTAAATTCTGTTTATTTTATTCGGTTGCACAAAAACTGGATTTGGTTTACGTTTGGCTCATTTTATTCAGTATAATTTCATTTTTGTTTGTTTATTTAACCGAAACGAATCATCAATTTGTATGTTTTGTATCAACAGATCACATTAGTCGTTACCCTTCAACTCTCAACAGCAGCAATTCTACACGACTCAGGATGGCTCAAGATTCTAACCATTGCTTACTTCTTTGGATCATTCCTAAACCACAATCTCTTCCTAGCAATCCACGAGCTAAGTCACAACCTGGCCTTCTCAACTCCGGTTTACAATCGCTGGCTAGGTATTTTCGCAAACCTCCCAATCGGCGTACCAATGTCGGTAACATTCCAAAAATACCACCTCGAGCATCACCGGTTCCAAGGAGTAGACGGTATTGACATGGACGTTCCTACTTTAGCAGAAGCTAATTTAGTAACAAACATCTTTGCCAAAACCATTTGGGTTTTGTTACAACTCTTCTTCTACGCTCTTCGTCCATTATTCGTCAAACCAAAACCGCCCGGTTATTGGGAATTCGTCAACTTCTTTATTCAGATCGTTTTAGATGTATCCATGGTTTTCTTCTTCGGATGGAGATCTTTAGCGTATCTCATCTTATCGACGTTTGTCGGAGGCGGATTCCATCCAATGGCCGGACATTTTATCTCGGAACATTATGTTTTTAACCCGAACCAAGAGACTTATTCGTACTACGGTCCATTGAATCTCTTATCGTGGAGTGTTGGATACCATAACGAGCATCATGATTTCCCGAGGATACCGGGACATAGGCTGCATTTGGTGAAGGAGATTGCAAAAGAGTATTATGAAGATTTGGAGTCGTATAAGTCATGGTCACAAGTGATTTATATGTATATTATGGATACGACTGTTGGACCTTTTAGCAGAATTAAGAGGAAGCTCTCAACACCTAAGTCTGACTAATTTAAGCTGTATGTTTTGATAAGCTTTTGTTTACGTTGGTCTTTTTTATTCGTTGATTTTTGTAATTTACTGGAGAAGTTCTTGTGATCTTAGGAAGATCTTAGGTGATCTTCACCTTGTTATCTATTAATAAAATCCACAAAAAAAGAACTTTACACTTTATGAGAATTAGTCTTTTTAGATTATCGTCTAACGTCTTTGTTCTTTTTTTTTTCAAGTTTAATTCACACTAACGTATTGTTTGATAGCTCGGGGATAGTTATCAATATCAAACTCACAATTTAAACCTTTCAGTTGAGGTTAGATCATTCCTTTTGCCATTCTTAATTTCCACCTTATGTTTTTGTTTTCGAAATATTGGAAGCTTTTTTACATGTAATTGTGAAGAAAGAGGGCATAAGATTCAAAATTCCTCTAAAAATTAATAAAACTATATTTAATTATCATTGAAAGTCTTTTTCTTTAAAATATACTATTTCAATACTACATATGATTAAAAACATACTAATGATGAGTGTAATGTCTTTCACAACCGAGATTGTTGTGCCAACAATAAATATATATATATGACATATTTATATGCGTTCACTGTGACATTTAGTTGGTTCTTGCAACTCTTTAAGAAATTTGGGTTAACTCAGTTGTTATCATCGACATTTTGGTGGACTTGGTGGTAGTTTTTAACTGTTTTAAGGTTTCCTAATTAACATTTTAACAATTTGTTTTATTGATTTTTATTGATTATTCCTTTGTTATAATTATTCGAGTTGGTAAGGACATTGGCAATATCATGTAATTTTGCCTATATTTTGTACTATGATTTTTAAGTCGGAAATGCATCTATTATGTTTTGCCACTAAAATTTTGTGAAATCAAAAGTAGATATTCCATGAAAGCAAAGTAGTAGAATTAAAAATTTACGTAAAACATAGATTGTTTTAATTAACTGTTGATTTTATGTAAAACATTAAACATATATGTATATCATGGAATATTATATGATGGTTTATTGCAAGTCATTTTTTTTCCAAAAATTATAAGCTACATTTTTCTTCTTCTCCCTGTACGTTCATCAATATCTCTTTTACTTCATTTTCTTCTCAAATTGATCAGATAAGTCTCGTCATTATTTCTTTTCTGATCTCATGCATTTTGGTGTTATTTCAAGCAACAATCTCTGCGACGCGCTCTCCAACGACGGATTCGGCAAAGAAGCGACGTCGTTAAAAGGCGTGACTATTCATGTGACGTTTTGTTTTTAACATTGTATTCAACTATTCATACTCAATATGGTTTTCTCTCATAAATGTTTGATTCCATTTTTACATAAAAATTATTTTCAGATGAATCTCAAATTGAGAAAGATATGCTCTGACGCTTGTTAATATCACCAGATATCAACAATCGTAAGAAGCTTTCCTTGGGAGATAAAATTGGCAATGTAAGCTTGGTTTTCTATATTATATTATGTATGGTCATATTATTGTTGGTTTTCAAAAATATTATTGTGTTTTTGTTTGTTTGCACGAAGTTTATATGCCAACATATGTCGAGCTTGAAACTTGGTATAAACATTAAATCCTTTAACAAAAAAAGGTATAAACATTAAATTGCAACATGCGATAGTGTTATGTGGTACAAAAAGATATCTATGGCGTAGAAGAGGTGATGATATACAGCTTCACAAGATTTGTGTGTTCTAACATCAACATGGGGATAGCTCCCGAGTTTGTTACAATTCAAATGTTGGAAGACACAAAAGATGAAACCAAAGATTTTTAAAAGTGGACTAAGTGGTGAAGAAGACATTGTGAATGCCAACTTAAAGTTTTGGTTGTTCCAATAGTCACAAAGATAGTTGTTTGGTTCCTCCAACACTTCAAGACAATTGTATATGAGCGAAGAAAAATTGTTTAACTAATGTTTGATAATGTGACAACTATCAACATTTTTGCATTTTGTTTAGTTGATTTTTCAGCATAAATATTTCACTATTCTCAAAATTAGTGGACTAGGATGTATTTTTTGACAAAGACTTGTTAACATTTTTGAAATTACCTTTGTAATAAAGTTAGTATATTCATTTAGGAACTGTTTTATCTTCACTTTGTGTACATGTTTTCAGAATGTTGCATAACATTAAAAATTTCTTTAGATATTTGATGAATTGAATAAATTTGTAGTGAAATCAAGAAAACAGTAAAGTTCCAACTCTAAAGTATTATTAGGGAGAGAATTACATATCTACTCATTGGTCTGAGCTCAAAAAGCTTTTGTTGAATTCAGCGTTGGATATCATATCATTCGGATCTTCTCCTTAGATTTTTAAAATAGCTTTATTGGAATAGGAACTTACACATTCAAAATCAGTTTGAAATGAGCCCAAATCTATTAAAACCTTTTAAGCAGACCCTAATCACTGTTAAATTTGTGAATACAACAAACTCAAATGAGAAAAACAGAGCAACATGTTGATAAGCATCAACAAAACTGTGAATTGCTAAGGAAGGTAACCATCTCTTTTACTTCATTTTCTTCTCAAATTGATCAGATAAGTCTCGTCATTATTTATTTTCTGATCTCATGCATTTTGGTGTTGTTTCGAGCAACAATATCTATATGAATTCGAAAAATAATGATGAGATGATATTACGCTAACTTTGTGACTATTCATGTGACTTTTTGTTTTTACTTTGTATTCATACTCAATAAGGTTATCTCTCATAAATGTTTGATTCCATTTTTACATAAAAATTATTTTCAAATGAATCTCAATTTGAAAAAGATATGCTCTGACGCTTGTCAATATCACCAGATAGCAACAGTCGTAAGAAGCTTTCCTTGGGAGATATAATTGGCAATGTAAGCTTGGTTTTTTTATATTATATTATGTATGGTCATATTATGGTTGGTTTTCAAAAATATTATTGTGTTTTATATGTAAGCTGATCGTATAAACCAGACTTTTATATGTATGGTCATATTATATATTATTGTGGCCAGATAGCTGCGTTCATGAGACTGGTTTAAGACATGCTTTCTCTTGTTTGTTGTATGCTTGCTTTTTTCGTTAATGTCGAACATGGTTTTGCTTCTTTTTAAAAAAGGATTGCTTTGTTGAGCAAGTTTTAACAAGTTTAGCATATATACAAAAACATAGTGTGAAAGTATACATACTAGAGCCATGTAGCTAAACAAGGAAGCCAATTGAATATCAAAGTATGTTAAAGACAACATCATGTATAGCTAAGTAGCAAAGAATCTTCAAGAAAAATAATAAGTAGCATTCAGCTAATGTCTACGGCTGGACTTGGACAAATGTTGTAGGAACATATTCTGCCATCATCTGAAGAAACAAAATTAGATTAATAAGTATTTACTTTTTTTTTTAACACTAAATCGGTTAATAAATTATTTTAATGCTAATCAAAAAGTTATGGCTTGAAAGTTTCATTGAACATATTTCTCTTTTTTTTTTTTTATAAAGGATTTGCATATGCATATTTCTCTCGGAAAACATTTGTCTCTAAATCAAATTAGTCGGTTACCAGAACAAAGGTTTTTTTTTCCTTTTCCCTTGATCAATTCATGTCCAGATTCTGATTTGGCCTGTTCCACCTTCTTATGATTTCTTTTGGTGCAACCTATCCAAATTGAGGCATAGTGGGCAGTGAAGGGATGAGGAACAAGCGTAAATTGCCGTTGGCTTCCCGGCTGAGAATGTACAACTGGCCATCATCACAGTTGTTCGATAGTTACAGCGTAAGAATGCGTAAGAATGAGGTGATGATACTTTCATAAGAGTTGCGTAGAACATGGGGATAGCTACCGAGTTTGTTGAAATTAAATTGTTGGAACTTGGAAGAAACAAAAGATGAAACGAAAGATTTTAAAAGGCGGACTAAGTGGTGAAGAAGACATTATGAATGCCAACTTAAAGTTTGGTTGTTACAATAGTCACAAAGATAGTTGATTTTTCAAGTTTTCAGCATAAATGTTTCACTCTTCTCAAACTTAGTGGACTTTGAGGTACTTCTAACATTTTTAAGCTTGTTAACATTTTTGCAATTACCTTTCTAATAAAGTTAGTATATTCATTTAGGAACTGTTTTATCTTCACTTTGTGTACTTGTTTTCAAAATGTTGCATAACATTAAAATTTTCTTTGGATATTTTGATGAATTGAATAAAATTTTAGAGAAATCAAGAAAACAGTAAAAAATTTTAGTGAAATCAAGAAAACAGTAAAGTTCCAACTCTAAACTATTATTAGAGAGAGAATTACCAATCTGCTCATTGGTCTGAGCTGAAAAAGGTTTTGTTGAATTCAGCGTATAGCTTAAAAGAATTGGAATAGGAACATTTCTAATATATATATTTTAACATTTTTCACTAGATTGTAAACCCATTCACCATAAAATTATATTGTTAACACATCACAAATGTGAAAAACAGAGCAACATGTTGTTAATGAAGCATCTCCAAAACTGTTATATTTGTGAATACAACAAACTCAAATGAGAAAAACAGAGCAACATGTTAATAAGCATCAACAAAACTGTGAATTGCTAAGGAAGGTAACCATGCATCTTGTGCTCTGGAAAATCTTCTCCATTTTCTGCCATACCAAACTCTGAGTTTCTAAAAGCTTCCTCGCTTTCTCTTGTAAACTCGGATGGCACCTTATCGTCTCGCCGTGGATCTGTCCAGATAAAAAGAAGTAAAACGTATAAACCAGAGTTTTATTAAAACGAAGACTATTTTTAGTTGTAATGAGAAATGAAGTTTTAAATTACCTTCAGAAACAATCTCACAACTGCCTGCATAAACTCGAAGTTGTTTCTGCAAGTGATCTCTTTGATGAAGTAATCTAAAAGTTGTCCAATTGATATAAACTCAGGTCTTTTGATAAGCTCTTCTTCAGCTTCTTCATCTATAATCTCAAGCATCCGTAGCTCCATGTCGAGAGCTGATGGGGATAAACCCTTTATGTAGTCGGTGAAATCTGAAACTGCAAAAAACGCATTACGTAATATAAGCTTCTCTTTGTGCAGTTTGACGCTCAACCATTGATACTTAAACAAAGACCAAACTAAACTTACAGTTTTTTGAATCCCATGAGGACTTGAGAAGTTTTGAGAATGGAGATTCCAGTGAACCAAAATTCTTCATGCTGTTCTTGGAGTCTTTATTCTTCTCCTGACTCTCCTCATCACCTTCTGATTCATTTGGCTTGAATAGTATATCTCCGGAAAGCGAGGGAACAGAGGGCAAGAAAAAAGGAGCCTTTTCAGGTTTCTTCGGAGGCTCTATTGGTTTATTGCGGGCCTATGACACAAGATCAAACATAGTATTTTGTGGTTAATAGAGGAGAAAGAACGAAGCAATATAACATCAATGAGAAATGTGAGAAAGGAGAGAATATGCAAAACCTTTATAATATCCAAGTTGATCAAACTTTGCCATTGGCTTTTTGGCAATAGAGACAGAGTAACAAGTTCCGGGATCTGCTTAGGGGAAATCGAGAAACTGATAGCCTTTTCGCCTTCTGAAACTTGCGTCTCCATTTCGATATCATCATCAGCTTCAGAAGATGTCAATGCAGAGACTGAAGGCAACCTAACATTCACGACATTTTGCCCACTAGCATAGGAATTGACATTTGGAGCCCCAGAGAACATGGATTGGTTAACCCTGATAAGGTCAAGAAGAGAGTGAACTCATTAAAACAATAACAGACAAAAGTGTGTTCGTAATTTGAGAAAAGCTTTGATTTGAGAGCTTACCACAAGTAGATCCCGTTCTTATCAGAATGGATTGTTGCCAAAATGTCCATATTTGGTGACAGAGACAATGCTGTTATTGGCACACCAACATGCATTCCATCAATCTGTTTTGCGAGAATGACATCCCAAATTCTAAGAGTCCCATCCATGCTAGATGAGATGAGCCACTTGCCATCCTCACTAAAGCACACATCCGTTATACGGTCTGTATGACCCTTAAATTCACGAACCATCTTCAGTGCCACAACATCATACAGGCGGATAACAAAATCATCTACCACCGTTGCCAAAAGACCTACCAAGTGATGCAGAATTAGATACAAATGTGAGAACATACAAGCAAACAAAGAGGCAAAGTTATACTAGGATAATTTACCATTTACTCGGTGGTAGACAATTTTAACCAATGTACACCCAACATCCCACCGGGAATTTAATACCCGCTTTTTGAAATCCCAAACCTGTATTTCACAAACAAAACATTACCAACATTTTACTTTGCAACTCGCGGAATAAGCTTCACTCATAGACAAGACACAGCCAATAGCAAATCCGAACGAGAAGTGAGAACGTGCCGAACCTTTACGTCACCATGATATCCTGCACTTATCATGAGTGTGTTTGTGGAGTCACAAGCAACTCCAATCACTTCCCCGTCGTGGGAGTGTCCTCTTTTCTCCGACATATCCAAGTAACTACCCCGGCTAATTCCAGACTGGAGGTTGAACCTCTCGATCCAGCCACCCGCTGTTCCAACTACTGCAAAGTTTCCACAGGCGCTGATTGCACAAGCCTGTAAGACAAGCAATTTGAAGAGTTCAATAATCAGTAATGGCGAGGGACAAAAAGAAAAGACCTGTATTGCTAATCAGAGACTATTCCTGGATACCACGAGCCTCTCAACAATGGTGGCATGGTATCACAAAGAATAGAATAAATGCTTTCAGCCCACTTCTATACATTTTAAAGACTTGACAACATGACACTACGACTAGGTTAAACTAAATTCTTGTGACAAGCAATTGGTTATATAAATGAACCTATGGAAGGGGAGTCAACAGTCCGAAGAGCCAATTCTAACAGAAATCAATTTCCACCTATAAGGACTAAATACTTTTACTTTTCTTGTTCAGAAGAGTGCTAGAAGTCAGAAGTAAGGATAGTAAAGTATAATCTTGAACCTTAATTGATGTTGGATTCTCACGGCAAGGTTTGAGAATATGCTCTCCAAGAACAAAATTCTGAAGTCTCCATACATATGCTTCTGCTGTATCTTTATGGCATGTAACCACATTGCACCAATCACGCTCCCTAATCTCAGCTTCAATTTGGGAAAGAAAAGAGTAACAGTCGTTACGATGTATATCAACAACATAACACAAGTCATGGGAGATGCAATTCATTTTATCAACATGCAAATTCATAGGACAGAATAAAGGCAATCCACGTGTCACTTTGCAGAAAAGATTAATTTTTGTTTCTTCAGATATCATGATGTGAATGTGAATGAAAGAACTTGAGTAACATACTTATAAGACTAAAGGTAAAGATCAGCTAAATTAGATAAGTACCGCAATCAAACGCAATAACAGGCTTCAATTTTAGCTCTTCCTCCTACAGAACAGAAAAAGAATATAAGCAAAAAATTAATAAATTCCACACATAAATAACTTAACATATGCAACTATTTCCAAACATAGAAAACATCAGAACACGATAAATAACCAATAGACCCTTAAAGAAATCATTTCAGCTGTACCTTTAACCGTAGTTTTTTGGCTCTCCTTGATATGTGCTTTTGAGAAAGCTCTCTACTTTGTTGCTCCTGATGAAATAATTAATGGAAAGGAAGACTGTTATCATTAACGGACAACAGATCTTTAGGAACAATACAGGCCACAAACTGAGAAACAAGCTACTCGTTAACATTAAAGAGAACAATCAGATTCATGACAATCAAATAAATAAATTTGTAATGAAATTCCCATCAAAAGAACTGAGAGGTGTGCGATGAAAGACAAGAAAACAATTTTTTTTTCAAATACCATGTAACAAAGATACTAAAGTCAATATTGTAAATTTTGCATTTAAACCAGTAGATGTTGAGAATAATGAATATACTTAACTCTACATTCTTGTATGACTATCAATTCAGCTAACGAATGCCGATAGGGAACTAGTTTCCTAACTTTTGTGATTGTAAAGTGACAAATGAATAGTCAGTGTCTAAACTATAACTCGAAAGTTACAGGCAAACTACAGGCTCTCTAGCTCAGCAATTTCATGATCCTGACATAGAATTGATACTAAATCCGTATGTTATCCTACCTGAATGACAGAGAACAGTCGGAAGGCACGATCCTCGCCAGCAGACAAAATGTGCCGTCCATTAGAGTAGAACCTACCACAAAGAGAAACCAAATACGATTATAAGACAACTTCTTGGCATGCCCTCAATATAACCACAGTGGAAAAACAATCTTTCTAAGAAAGATATATCCATAACTATAGAGATAGTGAACGTTTTCAAAATATCATCAGGATAACCAGTATGAGTTACTTTAACAATAACTAGAGATCATTAATGCTACTTACATAGAAACAAAAAAAAAACATAGTCTCACAAGTGAAGAAGCAAGCAAATAGAAGCAATCAAATCATTCAGCAATATGGGGATTCCCAAGCTAATTACCTGATACATTTTGGAGGGGCACTATGCCCAGAGCGGAAGCGTAGAAGGCGGGGAGCAACATCATTTGTATCAAAAATCCACATCTACAGATACGAGACACCAAAAAATATAAATATATATGGCGTAGCAGATCAAATAAGTTTGGCAGGTAAGTAAAAACCCAACTTACTTTGACTGAGTTATCTGCTGATGAACTAATTAGCACAGGCTCATTTGCTAAAAAGTTCAATGAGATTATAGATTTGTCATGGGCATCCCTAATGACTGACTTAAGACATTTTTTCTTAAGATTCCAGATGCTTATCACACCTGAAGAACCTCCAGAAGCAAGAAGGGGACGTCCATCTAGCATGACAGGATACACATGTTAGAACTGAAAAGCAACTAACTTTCCTTAGCTATAGTAACATAAGCTACATAACGGAAAAATAAAATGTTTAGCTCCACTTAAAGACAATAGGAATACACTTTTTTCTGGTCACTATACTCATAGGATATCAAATAGAAATGATGATAAACTTAAACCTGCTACGAAATCAGTTTGAAATGATTATGAAGAAAAAAACAAAGAATCACTCAGACATTGAACAAAATGAACACTGCAAGACCTTTACCTGTAATGAAGGACAAGGCAGTAACAGCACCTCGTGAGGCGTCTTCAAATGTGACGATCTCATTGTCCAATCTTATGTCATGCACATGGATCTTTCCATCAGCACAACCAATAGCAACAACATCCAGGGCAGGGGATGAAACACAACTGCAGACAGACGAACCCCAACCCTTAAACTCATGGATCATCTTCTTAGTACTTATGTTCCATAGCTGCAACGGACCCTCTTGGCTCCCTACAAGAACCTACGCAAGTGGTTTCGGGTAAGAGAGATTCCCAAAGATCTATCAAGGCTTGCAAACATAGGACACCAAATAAAAAAATGAAATTTAATGTCAGCCAAGAAGGACAAACCTTGTTCAAATGAGTATCTGGATGAACAATACAGGTAGGAGTAAAATTTCCACTAAACTCAACATGTCCAACTGGAGCTGCATCTTCTTTGATTCCTTTGAACTCCCACATGAACATATTTCCCTCTACGTCAAGACTTAGGACGTGCTCTCCAAACAAAAGAAGCTTGTCGACTTTAGCAACATGCTTGCTCCAAGTTGCTACCTGACAGATGGCAACAACAACTCTTCAACTCTAAAACAACACCACTAAACCCAACTTTACAAGAGTCGAGCATCTTCCATAAGTTTTTTGAAAAATCAACCATTAGGCAACCAAAGTAAGACGGATTTGTGGAGGCATATACATACCTGATGAGCACGTCTAAAAACTGCGATTTCGTTTCCAAAAGCAACAAATGTGTAGTCACGGAAAGAAGCAAAAGCTCTGATTTTCTTTGGGAGTAGAGGACCTTTAGATAACACAAATTACATTGTAAGAAAAATCAAGCTGAATGAAACAACGCCAATTCAACTTAGACAAAATCCATTGCTAAATGCATATATTTAAGCAAGAATAAAGGTAAAAAAAAACTTACTGAGAGTGACTACATTTAGCTTCGCGCACTACAAGAAATTGAAACAAAGAGAAAATCAACACACAAAAAAAATCAGGAGGAAACGAAGTATAAATAGAGAAAAGCGATGGCTTTACATCATATATCTTGAAAGCTTTGCCGACGCTGACGGTGGCGAAGGTCTCCGTGCCCAATCGCTGAACGGAGATGGGAACAGTGCCCGTTATGTATCCTATTGCTCTAAACGGTTCGAAAATTCCCATCTTTGAGTGTGTGCAAACTGCACAAGACCCGACAAATTAGGGTTTTGAAATCACGGCGGAACGGGAACAGCTGGGATAATCAATCAGTCGTCTGAGAAGAGAATCGAATAAAGCTTTTAACTTTGAGAGAGAAAAGGCGGCACAGGAGCGATGGAGAGGAAACCAAGACAAACAAAAGGGTTTAGGGTTTAACGGAGAACAAATTAAAGAAAAAATAATATATCCATTTTCTGGTCGGAACCGTCGTTATTCTTGGTTTAGCTGAACGTTTGGTTATCCGGTTCAATGTAGTTCGGTTTATTAGTGTTTTCTTTCTTCTTTTTGGTTTGAAGAATGTAGGTTTGGCTTTTGCCTTTTGGATAAAACAATTGATTTTTTGGTTTAATTTCGGTTCAGCTGTAGAATTTTACGTGCAAACTGCAGTTTGGTACTATACACATATCTATACCGCTCAATTCAGTTACATTCGGTTCAAAATTTAATTTCTTTTGGTTTGATAAAGTTTTAACCAACAAATAAAGGAGTAATAGCAGCCGTCCGATCTTAAGGAAAACTAAATAAATCCCCACCATCGGATCGAGTTTTCTTTGTTAAGGTGGAGTCAAAATTTTGTCTCTCACAAACACGAATACGAATCTGATATGCAAAAAAGTGTTTCTTCAATCATAGAAATAAGCAAGACAAACCGCAAGTAACAACAATGTCTATAACACCAGAAGTAGAATCATCTCTCACCAATGCAAAGAGCAGAGAGAGACTAATAATACACTTACTCAGATAGAGTTGCTTTGAGGTCACCACCGTCACTAAGCTCCATAATAATATCACATCCTCCAATCAACTCACCTTTATAGTAAAGCTGAGGAAACGTAGGCCAGTTTGAGAAATTCTTAATCCCTTGCCTTACTTCTTCATCACTCAATATATCAAACGACCCGAAACTAACATCCTCTGCTCTCAGCGCTTTCACAACCTTCGAGCTGAATCCGCATTTCGGTTCGTCCGGTGAGCCTTTCATGAAAAGCATAACCTTTTCAGAGTTGATCAGTGTCTTCAATCTATCTTCAAGTGAGACTATCCCTCCTTCTCCATCATTTGTAGTGATTCCCTGCTCGATGAACGCTTCTTTCAGCTCACCACTCTCGTGCATCGCTATCGTAATATCAGCTCCACCGAGAAGCTCTCCTTTGCAGTACAGCTGAGGAAACGTAGGCCAGTTGGAGAATTTCTTCAGGCCTTCGCGCACTTCGTTGTCAGAGAGAATGTCGAAACTTCCGAAATCAACCTTCTCCTCTTTCAGAATGTCGACTACTTTCCGGCTAAACCCGCACCTTGGCTCTTCAGGAGAGCCTTTCATGAACAGCATGAGAGGGTGAGAGGTAGTGAGTTTCTCCAAACGGGTTTTGAGAGCATCGGTGGGAGTGGTAGTGGATACAGGCTGAGCTCGGTCTTGCGGAGTAGCTTTGGCGTTCTCCTTGACGGTTTCGAGAATCGTTGGCCCTGCAGCTAACCCTAGGCTTGCAGGAGCAGCAGGCTCAGCAGAAGTACTAGAACCAGCAACTTTGCTGACCTTATTGGCTAAACTTGATGGATCTGCTCCCTCAAGTGTATCCACAGCTTTGCCATCCTTCAATAACAAATTCATAGTCAGAAACAAAAAGGTAACAACTTTCAGAACAATCACAACAGTCCAGGAGAAAAGCTTCAAGCTTTAAAACACCAGCAAGACAGAAAGTTGCAGCTAAACGAAGAATCAATAAGTTTGATTTGACATTAATTGTCTTCTACTGATTCTGGAGCTAGTTTGTTTGAGGAATCATCTTCTTGTTCTACTAAACTAGACTAAGAACTGAAGAAGACTAATCATAACAAAAACCCTAAATTCTAAACACTTTCACTGCTAAAATTCCGATCAAACATAGCAGAAAACCATATATTTACCTTGAAGAAGACGAAATACGGCACAGCAGCAACAGAGTAAGCCTCAGAGATCTCAGGATGTTCCTCAGCTTCCACCTGAGAAGAGAAGCCATAATAAACACCAAAAAGTCTAAATTACACATGAAAGGAGAAAAATTTATTGGTTAGGGATTTAGAAAGTAGAGAAGCGACGAACCCTAAAAAAGTGAGCGCGGGGGAAATCGGTGGCGAGATGAGAGAAAACTTGATCCATCTGCTTCGAAGCGTCACACCAGGAAGCCCAGAAGTGAAGGACGATAGGTGCGCCGCTCTGGCGCAAGTTATCCAGCTCCGACTTTGAAGTAAGATCCTTCACCGCACCACCCATCTTCGGAGAGATCTGCGATTGAGATTACACAGTCGATATTCTCGAACACTTTTTGTGGTTACCGATTACGGAGAATTTTTCTGTCGTCGGAGAAAGGTGAGAGATGTATATGTAAAGGGCTTTAGGCCTTTTTAGTTTTTTTTGTATGGAATATGATGCTAAATTGCTAAATTGCTAAATTGCCAAATTAGTAGCTTCCTTACGAATTAGGATACCAATTAGAGAAATTATCAGAAAAACCCCATCATTCTCGAATTGGATTTGAGATAAATTAAAAAGAATATTTCTGCAATCTTCTTCAAGTGTCTCTTTTTTTATGTCAGAGCATCTCATTCTCGAACAAATTCATAAACAGATTGTAGCAAAAATGACCTTATTTCTGAAGCAGAAATGACCAAGTGGTTCTAGCAAATTGATGTTGTTTAAAATTCTTTTCAAGTTGTGATGATAAAACCACCGAATATCTCCACTCTATGATGGAAATCCAAAATTTATCTAAATTAAACCCGGTTATTTACAGCATTATACATAAGTACATAACCAAACCATTACAACAAATCTCTTTACAAGCATTAACAAATTTAATAAACAAACAAAAAAAAAAAAATCAAATATAATTCTCTTAAGATAGATGGACATTATCAAAATGGCACTGCTTTTCTCCATTCTTCCATCAAGTAAGATAGATGGGCATAATCAAGTATGGGAAACAAGTTTTTGTTACAAGATGGAGCTCAATAATATGGTACTTTGGTTGTGATGCATATTAGCCACCCTATGAATCAGACAAAAATTAGGGAAAGCATAGATAAATGAACATTGTTATGACATCAATATTTACCTTATTTTTGGAACCGAAATAACCAAATGGTTATGGAAAATTGATATTGTTGTTGCCATGAAAATTCTAAAACAATGGCTTCCATGACACTATCTAAACTGTGATGATAAATTGTTTGTCTTGACACATCCGAAGCTAAGTCACAAACTTTGAAATGGTCTTACTTGGTTGGAGTTTGAGTATAATAAGTCATTTGATATGAAAGCCATCAACATCCTGAAAATTTGAAAACTCTATACTCATTGCAAAACAGCATATATGAAAAATAAGAAATGAAATAAAAGTTAAAACACAATTATTCATTAGCCTTACTTGTTTTCCATATTTTCAGGTTTGCAATAAGTATGAGTTTTCACTAGACTTTGATGGTTTCCAACTTGATTATGTCACAATGAAACTAAAAAACTATGATCCATTTCTGCACACGATCCTTGGGAAAAGATCATATGACTTCATTCCAAATCATAACTGAAACTTATACTATATCAAATTAATATAGGAGGATCTTGGAGTATCATGGTATGATCATGAAGATTAATTTTCACAAATTTGAGCCAACAATAGAAAATCTTATAATATGAAACCCCAAGAAGAAATCATTCATTTGGAAGAAGAAACAAAAAAAAAAAAAAAAAAAAGAAATTTTGTTTGATGCCGTTATACCAGAGCCATTTTAAATAATAACCTTAATGTTTTTGTTGGATCATTGTGTCAAAGATTTTTAATTTTTTATTTTAGGATAAACAAATGCAACCAACTAAAAGAAAAAAAAAATCCACAGACATTTGACTTTAGAAAAAAAAAAAAAAAAAAAAAATCTAGTGTAAAAAAGAAACAATTAACAGTTAAGACTTTAGAGAAAATATAAGCGTTGAAAGTCTGATTGGATCAAAATTAATTTTAAAGACTGTATGTCTAAAGAGCATATTTAAACCTCAAGTGTCTTGTTTATCTCAGCATCTCATTCTCTCACAAATTCACAAACACCAACATGTTATTGTCTTTGAATTTTAAATTTCGTCTAAGGGAACCCCGGTTAAGGATCCAATATGAACCGGTTATTTACAACATTATACATAACCAAACCATTACAACATTTACAACAAAGCTTTCTCTGAGAGTCTTACTTACTTTCACAGCATCAACTGGATAATTATTTGATCCTCTATTTACATTTGTCCGTTTTCAGTTTTCAAGTCGCGAGAAGAAGAGACCCACAAGCATCAGAAGCATGCTTGCCTTCTCCAAAAACCAAGTTTCCTCTCACAAATGTTGAAACCACTTTGCCTGATAATCTTCTTCCCAAGTAAGCTGAGATACTCTATTGTCACCACAGAAAGAACAAACATAACATAAAGTTTTAGACATTCGGATTAAGACCATAAAGCTTTAATTGGCATATGTCAGGTTAAAACTTTGAACATACAGGGTGTTTGAAGTGGATTGGATGGTCTTGATCGAGATCAAATTCTACTTCAGGTTCCCACACAACAATATCTGCGTGTTTCCCAACCGCAATCGCTCCCTGTAAAAGATCACACAAACCGTTTTTCTTTACGATTACAAGAGAATAAAGAAGCTGTGTTTGATTAGTATAACGCACCTTAGAGTGTAGTCCAGCGAGTTTAGAAGGCCTATCACTCCACCAAGAAACTATCTGCTCGAGTGTCACTCCATACTTTTTCCCATATGACCATGTTACTGGAAGAACAAACTGCAATTAGCACCCAAGACAAAAATTTCCATGAGTTTTTTTTCTTGTCTTCTCACAGTTGATACATATTTCAGCATCATCGTTAGAGACTGTTAAGACTTGTAACGAACCTGTAAGGACGATATCCCACCCCATGCTTTCAAGAAGTTACCATCACTCAAGAGTTTGAGTTCAGGCTTTGTAGGTGAATGATCAGAGCTCAGCATATCAATGTCTCCTTCCTATACCAAATCAAAAAAGTTCAGAATTCAAGGAGTGGAACAACTATGAGGTATAATGACTCGCAAAACAAAACTGTACCATCATGGCTTCCCACAACTTTTCTCTATTGGCTGCATCTCGTATAGGTGGGGAGCATTTGAAACGAGTATCACCTTCTGGAATCTCTTCGGCTGAGAAAGCTAGGTAATGCGGGCATGTTTCAACGGTAACACTGTCTCCTTTGCTTTTTGCTTCCTTGAAGTCCAACCAAATTTAATACAACATATTGAGGCTTTAGCATTGAGGAACACCCAGATGATAGTACTTTAAGGGATCAAAATCGTAAATACCTTTATCAAATCTAAGGAAGAACTGGCATCAGATAAATGCACAATATGAACATGAGCTCCTTCTGCAGAACCACCAATCCTTGTGTTTTCAGTAACTGATAATAGGTTTCTGATTGCTCCCTCCTCCCTAATTTTTCAAATGAAGATTAGTTTCAGCTGCAATGGAACTTATAGAGTGCAAAAGAAAGCAGAGTCTCACCATGAAGTTGGCCTAGTTTTTAGATAAGTCAGATAAGAACGAGGGTCATTTTCGCTGCCATCTTCAATCTCTAAGTCCTTTTCGACCTCCGCGTGTACGAGCAATGGTCGTCTGTATTTAGCTAGTACAGAGAGCCCTTCCTGCAGAAACAAACAATGTGGATGGGAAAAGAACCAATCAGCGACACTGTAATAATTCCTGAATCATGAGAGGATCATAATTCACTCAAGAAACGATACCTTAATATGAGTGATGTTTGTCATTGGGAAGTCGTTAATTCCTGAAGGACACATAAAGGACTGAACAAACGATTGAAAGAACAAATGTTAGACAGAAAAGACTCTTAACAAGATGAAGAGGCAGCCAAGCAGTGATATATGACATTAAAGCAAGAAGAAGCCTAAAGCTTCATGGACACATGAGATATCTACCTTGAGACCAAGAACTCCAGCATCTAAGAGAGACGAAAGCGCACTCGAGTTAAGTGCATTGTCAGGCACTAGACCTCCCCAGAAACCTGGAGAAACACCAAAAACAGATTTAGGTAACAAGTGCTTCTGTCATTATACAACAGATGTGGTAAATTTTGATAGCAAAGAGTGTTTACCAACATCAACATGTATTCTGTTTTTCGCAGCTTCAATCTGTAAAAACGGAAACACCATTATCTTGATTTCAAACAAACAAGAAAGCTGTATTAATAATGTGGACCTTACAACTGGAAACTAAAGAGGCTCACTTACCTTGAGTTTCAAAGTTTCAGGAGATACAGTTGACGGGAAACTATTCAAGGGCATGTCAACCACTGTGGTGATACCACCTAACAGACAGAAGGAAATCTCAAAAAGCTGAAGAAAGCTCTTAGCAACTAGTACAGCCTCAGTATCTCACTGAACTTGTTCAATCAAAGAAAGTTAAGAGAAACATATTTGATTACCAGCAGCAGCAGCCTTTGTTCCAGAAGGAAACCCTTCCCATTCACTTCTTCCAGGATCATCAAGATGTACATGCCTTCGCAAATCGCAACAACACAAAACAAGAGCATAATATCAGGTCAAGTACAGCTCCAAGATCATATGATAGTTTTATGAGCACATACACATCAACGAGACCAGGCATGAGGACAGCTTCTCCATAGTCAATCACTTTCACTCGACTCTTTTGCTTCTTATGCCAATCTGCTTCCTTCACCACTGACACGATAATGCCTCGGTTCACCTCCACTGCATCCGTAACGTTTCCGTCAGTCAAAGTATGGTTGACTAGCTAAAAGCGCCGTTCCATAGACAAGCTTAGCACTGTATATCAACTTAATTGTGTGTGTTTAAATGGTCATATGGATTTTGCAAAACTTTGAGAAAGAAAGAAATCGAGAGAAACTGTTGTTTTCTTTCTCAAATTTAGCTGAATTTTCCCCCTTTTGGAGCGTAAGTGGCCTAAATCAAAATCACATAACTAATGTGTGCTAATTAATTACTCTACAACGAAAGAGAGAGAGATTTTGATTCGTTAGTGAAACACCATACCAGAGCCAGAGATGAGACCATCTGGAGTGACGATGCGTTTGCTTGAGACCCAATAGTGGTCATGAGGAAGAAGACTACACTTGTTCCCTTGCGTCCCCTGTAAACAAACATCGGAATCAGTAAAACAAGTAAATGGAGAGAAAGAGTGACCAGAGCCGCCATTTTCAGGTTACAGAGAGAGTCACAGGAAACGGGGTTTCAGAAAACAGACCTGGAAAGATCGAGAAGCGAAGAAGACGGAGAGAACAGAAGCGACGAGAGCGAGAAGAGGCAATAATCTCCATTGAAGCAGCGAACTGTCCATCTCTCTCTCAAAGAGAAGGAAGACGAAGACGATGACGAGACTCTTATCACGTTGGGCCCACTATTAAAACCCAAAGAATCCTCAAAATGCATCACCGAATAATCTGAGACTCTCTAAGGACCGTTGGATTGTTGAAATGATTCTGAAGATGGACGGTTGTGGAGAGATATCGAGCAAGTTAAAAGATTCCGTCACGGTCACTTGCGTAGTCAAGTTGGATTCCGTCATGACTCATGAGAAGTAGAATTCATACATATATCATATGATATATATAATATATTTTGTGTATGGATATGCAAAGATAAGAGGAGAAAGCTAGAGGAGTTGGACTATTTCAGTTGTCACTGTGTTTGTTCCTCAAATCTTATCTTTGCACATAAACTATGACCACTTCGATTAGTTTCAGCCTGGCTGGTACCATATAAGCTTTTTGGGGTTCCAGATAATGTGTGTGCTTCATGAGGAGGATTGTTCATAGATACATTTCAAGTTTACAATATTGCAGTCATGATGTGACCGCCAACTAACTGTATCTTTTCTCAAAAATTATAAGCCAATATATACAACTATGGTGTCCAAAAAAAAAAAGAGGTAATTTAGATTACCTCGGTTTGGAACAACGACTCAACTACTATACACTACAGCTACTACACCGCAGCTACCTCAGTCCCACCATCGTGCCACCGCAGCTACCTAGCTCATTCCCACAGCCAACACCACTTCTTCTATCTTGCACCGTCTTGCCACCGCTACCACCGCAACTACCTCTATCCCACCGCCACCACCTCTATCTTGCACCGTCTTTGCCACCGCAGCAGCTACCTCATTCCCACAGCCACAACCACTTCTATCTTGCACAGTCTTACCACCGCTACTACCGCAACCACCTCTATCCCACCGCCACTACCGCAGGTCCGCAACTACCCCTCTCTCTTTCACCGTCATTCATCTCGCCACGTCACACCACCGCGTCCATAGAAGGATATTGGTACCAATATGTTTCGAACCCTAATGGGAGGAGAACAACTCGTGAGGAAACTCAACCACTTTGACCGGGTTCGAATTGGTGATGTAACTATAATTTATTTTTACTTAAAGGCTATTAAATCCGTTAAACCGAAAAATTTCTGGTTTGGACTGGGCTGCTAATTATCTTTGCCTTACGGCCCTTAACCGATAACAATTTGGCGTAAAAAAAACGATTTGTCTAACTACCCGTCGGCCAAAATTATATTTGTGCAATCTTCTTCTAGTGTCTTTGTTTTATGTCAAAGCATCTCAATCTCAAACAAATTCATAAACAGATAGCACCACTTACCTTATTTCTGAAACCAAAATGACCAAGTGGTTGTAACAAATTGAATTGATGTTGTTTTTGCCAAGAAAATTCTAAGCCATGCTAACAATGGCTTAAGCAACACTTTTTAAGTTGTGATGAGTCTGATGACAAACAACCGATATCTCCACTCTATGATCGAAATCCAAAATTTATCGTGAAGGAAATCCGGTTATTTACAACATTATACATAACCAAACCATTACAACAAATTTGTTTACAAGCATTAACAATCTTAATAAACAAAAAAAAAAAACAAATATAATTCTGTTAAGATAGAAAGTCATCATTAGAATGGCAGAATGGCACTGCTTTTCTCCGTTCTTCCATTAAGTAAGATAGATGGGCATCATCAAGCATGGGAAACAAGGTCAATGCTAAGGTACTTTGGTTGTGATGCATTTTTGCCACCCTATGACCCAAAGTTGAGGCTTCCAAAAAGCTTAATCTTTCAATGACAAAATCTTTATCATTCAATCCACAAAAACCTTGTTACCAAATTCACTATTCATGGAGCCCAAAGTTGAAACTTCCAAAAAGCTTTACATTGGTCATAGCTAAAAGTTACTCACACCAAATCTCTACAAATACCTCTTATCACTCTCTCTCAGAAACTGTGATGAGAGTGGTAAAAACAAACTGAAAGTAGTTGGATTCATTAAAAGGAACGAGTTCTTGCTCTCGTCTTACTCTTTAGCTCTTTCGTCCAAGTCTCATTAAGATTTGAAAAAGCCAGCGAGTGTTGGTCGCCCGGTACCCCCTATGTTCTATGACTAACATACCAGTGATCAAGCTCTCTAAGCCATAGTTCTTTTGTTGTGGCTTTTTGTGCATATTTTCAAGTTCGTAAAGTTTTTGTCGACGTTGATTACGGGTAGTGGAGAATCCAGCTCCGCAATTAGTCGTTTGACTGTTGATGCTTGTACATAAATGAGTTAAGTTTTGACAGTTGTACACAGGCGGCTCGAAATATTTTGGACCATATGATACATTGGAAAAAACATCTCAAACTAGAATGTATTTTGAAAAATATGCCCTCTTTAAGAAACTTGTTTACAAAACTAGGTCCTATTTAACAAGAAATTTAAAAAATTAGGCCCTATTTTACAGAAAATAAAATAAAATTAGACCCTGTTTTTCAGAAAAATAATATAAAAATTAGGCCTTGTGTTAAAAATAAAATAACTAAGAAAAACTAGTTAGAGCTGCTTGTACATACACATGTACACAAGTAACTAAACACATTTTAAACACATTATTTTCAACTTCATTAGTAGCTATAATTTTTTCTAAACTTTTAATTTTATCATGTATTAGATTTTATATAAATATTTATATAAGCTAATGATATATGTTTTATTATGATATTCAAGAGACTTGATCATAATTTCAAGTTTATGTATGTCATATTAATAAATAAATTATTTTAAATTCTTAATATATTATCATGTGGATAATAATTTTTGAAGATTATCAATTAAACAAAAATATTTTTATAAATTAATAAATATTGAATTTATTCATAAAAATAATACCTCTAAGATAATAAATTTATAAACTTCAATCATTATTACTTTATAGAGATTTTACTGTAAGATCATATTTTTGTGTGGAGATTTTGGTATTAAGCATGAGGAAACCCCTTAACCATCCACGGAACTCACTTTCTTTCTCCCTATCATCATCATTCAGTACAATTTCAATACTAATTGCAGCAGTCAAACTATTATTTTGATAGCCCTGCGTGTCGCATGTCAAACAATTTATCATCACGATTAAAAGAAAAGAATTGAAATTTCAGGCTAACCTTGATCTTGCCGTTCTTTTTCATATATTCCAAGAATTTGATATACCATTCGGTCCACCTGATAATTGGCAATTCCTTGATAGTATCAGTACTGGTGATTAGACATAATTAATTATGCTACTCATTGAGTTGTATAGCCATCATCCCTAAGTTAAATAGTGAAGTGACGGAAAAAAAAAATCATTTTTCCCATTTTCTCTTCACCACCACAATACATATCCGAATGTTATTGGCAATAACAAGTGGATCATATGTGGTTACAAAAATATTTTACCTGTTGCAATTCTCTTGCAGCCATTCACAAGAATTGTAGGGATTATAGGCATGTACCTAAAAACCATTAACACAGTAACAGTCATAAACAAAACAAAAAAAATCTAATATTATCTTCTGAATGAGATATGATTAACAAGATGGCTCTACTTTTTCCCTTTTTTCCATAAATACAATAGCGGGAGAAACAATCAAGCACTATCTCATAATGAAACTAAAAGTATATGATCTATTTTTGCACAAGATACTTGGCAAAAGAATCAAGCATATAGCTCCATCCCAAATCATAACCGAAAGAGAGCTAATTATCTTTGCCTTAAGGCCCTTAACCGATAACAATTTTGTCTATCTTTTGTTAGTTTTCATGTTGATACGGACACAAATTTTAAGTAGACAAATATTCAAGCGTTAAGATTTAAGTAGTCCAGTATGATAATTAACTTCTTATATAGTTATACTATTTAGCCATGGTTTTTGATGACCTGGAGAATATAGCTTTCTTCGGGAAAAGATTCGACCTGGTTTTTTTTTTTGTTATAATTGTTACAAATATATTTTAGAGGTTAATTATACGATTTTTAAATCTCAGATCTTAGCCTAATAGAAATAGAATGATTAAAGTTCAAAAACTGAGTGCTCCTGATCGTATCGTACGTACATCCACACTATTTGAGGTCGTGAAAATGGTTCTCATGCTGGACCTTTGTAAACATTAAACGCAATCCTGATAGTGACGGCATACCATATTTTTGAATTTTCTGCTAAGTCAAACTCATATTTAATCCTTATCCCAATTCTCCAGAAAAAGTTGAGTTCGTCGATCTCTCTCGCTTTGGTTTACATTCTAATTAAATACTTAACAACTATAATCTATTCGTATTATTTGTAAAAACTCTTACCAACCACACCATTTTTTGGTACGTCCTCAAAACAAAATATTTCGTACAGCTGTATTTTGAAAATCCGATTTCTGGATATACTTTTTTATTCTGTCCAAAGACATCCACGTCCAGTATTCTATAAATAATGTTAACAAATATTGTATACTAATAATTTAATCTTTTCCGGCAAGAAAACGTTGACCAAGATCATTGTCGCCGGCATCACAAGTCCTTAAACGCCGGGTTTCTTTTTTCCACTTTAAATATGAACACATTTAATGGCCATATTATTTTGTTCTAATACACAGAATTTTGACCTTTTCCTTTTCATACACAGGAGACTGTTTCTAGATTCTAAATACACAGAAGTTTAGATACCAAGACTGTATAGTCACAAATGCCATGTAAATCATTAGTTCATTACTATACACATCATTACGAATAAAAATATACACACGTACTTTAAATAGATACTATAAGTTTGATTTACATGGCAGTTTTGAACTACTAATCGAATGCAAATACATTATTGCATGACAATTTTCATAGTTTGCTGATTTCTTTCTAAAATCATTTTACTGCAGCTATTTATTTATAAAAAAAGAGGGAAATTCAAATTCTTTATGATTTTTTTAAAAAAACTTTCTAGTGTCTATGGTAAAATAGTAATTTGAATTTTCGAATCTAGTATATTGACAAAATGCTAGTATATGTCAACTACAACATCGAAGTAATATTTGTATCTTGTAACGATAACTTTGTAAAAGAATGATTTATTGTACATTGTTCAAACGATTTCTCAAAGAAGAAATTTGCAAAGTCTTCTTCGCTTTGTATCAAAATTTAATTAGTAGTATAAACAATTAACGAGGCCAAAAAGTCACTAACTTTGACGAAACAAAACAGTAAAAGTAAACGAAGAAACAATAGAAAAAAATCAAACCTTTCACGTACAAGCTTTTAACTTTCCCTTTCAACAACTGTCGTCAACACTGCTCAAAGCTTTTTATAAACCCAAACATGACATCAAACCTCACGCGTAGCTTCGTCTTCCTCTTCCTCTGCCATGGAAGCTCTTCCCTTTCTCCTTACCCTTCTTCTCATCCCTCTGATAAACCCAATCTCCGCCGTCGATTTCATCTTCAACGGCTTCGATGACTCTCCTCCCTCTTCCTCCTCTCCCCGTCTCTCTCTCTTCGGAAACGCAACAATCGGATCCCAAATCCTAACCTTGACCAACCAAACATCGTTCTCCACTGGTCGAGCTCTATACAGCAAAATCATCCGCACGAAAGATCCACAAACTTCCTCCGTTCTACCTTTCTCAACTTCCTTCATCTTCACCATGGCTCCTTTCAAAAACACACTCTCCGGCCACGGAATCGTCTTCCTCTTCGCACCGACAACCGGAATCAACGGAACCAGCTCCGCCCAGCACCTGGGTCTCTTCAATTTGACCAACAACGGCAACCCAAACAACCACGTCTTCGGAATCGAGTTCGACGTCTTCGCCAATCAGGAATTCAACGACATCGACGCTAATCACGTCGGAATCGATGTCAATTCGCTCAATTCAATCGATTCCAACACGTCTGGGTACTGGTCCGACGACGCGAATCCAGTGTTCAAGCCATTGAAGCTCAACGACGGAAGAAATTACCAGGTTTGGGTCGATTACAGAGACTCCATAGTCAATGTCACTATACAGCTCGCTGGCAAGATCCGACCTAAGATTCCTCTGCTTTCTACGTCTCTGAATCTCTCCGGAGTTATGGAGGATGAGATGTTCGTTGGATTCACAGCAGCTACAGGGAGACTTGTGCAAAGCCATATGATCTTAGCTTGGAGTTTCAGCAACTCAAATTTCTCCTTGAGCGATGGTTTGATCACAACTGGTTTGCCTTCGTTTGTGTTACCTAAAGAATCGATTTTGAAGAAGAAATGGTTCGTTTTTGTGTTGGCGTTGATCTGTTTCCTGGTCGTTTCTCTGGTTGGTTTCGTTTCGTTTGCTGTGGTGAGAAAGAGGATGGAGAAGGCGAGGAAGAGAGCGTTGATGGAAGATTGGGAGATGGAGTATTGGCCTCACCGGATCTCGTATGAGGAGATTGAGTCAGGCACTAAAGGGTTTGATGAGAAGAATGTGATTGGGGTTGGTGGGAATGGGAAAGTTTACAAAGGGTTGTTACAAGGAGGAGCTGTGGAAGTTGCTGTGAAGCGGATCTCGCAGGAGAGTAGCGACGGGATGAGAGAGTTTGTAGCTGAGATCTCGAGTCTTGGGAGGTTAAAGCATCGGAATTTGGTTTCTTTACGAGGTTGGTGCAAGAAGGAAGTTGGAAGCTTCATGTTGGTTTATGATTACATGGAGAACGGAAGTTTAGACCGGTGGATATTCGAGGAGGGGGAGGATGAGAGGAGGAGACATACGCTTAGCTGTGAAGAGAGGATTCGGATCTTGAAAGGTGTTGCTTCAGGGGTGTTGTATTTGCATGAAGGATGGGAGTCTAAGGTTCTGCATAGAGATATTAAAGCGAGTAATGTGTTGCTTGACAGAGATATGATCCCGAGGCTTAGTGATTTCGGGTTAGCTCGTGTGCATGGGCACGAGCAAGCGGTTAGGACGACGAGGGTGGTTGGTACGGCTGGCTATTTGGCTCCTGAGGTGGTTAAGACAGGGCGTGCGTCGACGCAGACTGATGTTTTTGCTTACGGGGTGTTGGTTCTTGAAGTGATGTGTGGGAGGAGGCCGATTGAAGAAGGGAAGGATCCGTTGGTGGGTTGGGTTTGGGGGTTGTTGGAGAGAGGTGAGATTGCGAGAGGTTTGGATGCAAGGATGGTGGTGACGACGGAAGGTGGTGATGAGGCTGAGAGGGTTTTGCAGCTTGGTTTGCTTTGTGCACATCCTGATCCGGGGAAGAGACCGTCGATGAGGCAGGTGGTGCAAGTGTTTGAAGGTGAGAAAGGTGAGATCTTTGAGGCGGAGAGTAGTGAAGACGTTGAGTCTTGGATGTTGAGGAAGATGGGGTCTCGTGGAAGCTCGACGGAGTTTTGGTATGGAAGCTCGTCGCATCCGACGATAGAGCAGGTCAGGCTTCAATCTCTGTCTGTGTCTCTTTCGTCTTGGAATAGCTCTATTTTAGAAGGTAGGTGATGATGATGATTGTAGTTGTTCTTTGTGGTCTTGAGTCTTGACTTTGGTTTCTTGTTGTGTACATATATACGGTTTTGTAAACATATTACATTATACATGTATTGTTTGTTAATTTTTTTATACTGTGAAATTAGTTGGTTTCAATTTAGCATAATATCACTCAATAATCCTGTGTCATGCCACAATACTCATAATCTTTCATTACGTAATCAATTCAATTAGACCAAAAAAAAAAATGAATTTCTTTAGCATCAATCATCAGAGAAGCTCTTTTGGTTATTAGGAATGAGAATGAGAATTCGAAGTCATCTGGTTTGAAAGTTGTGATTGAATCTTCATGCATGTGACTCGCTCTTCTTCTTCTTACATTTGTTAGAGCTAAGAATCCTAAGCATACACTCAACATGAGAAAATTGATTTTGTTGATACTTTCTTCAGGTTGGTGTGACAAGAACAATCTAGTAAATACACTTATCTTCCACAAACAATGTAATCTCCAGTCCTCTCACGAGCAAAACCGAAAGCAATTACAAAGTTGCAATCCCAATTCTCATTTACAAAAGAACCCTTTTGCGACAAGTCATTATTTATATAGTAAAAAAAAGTTTTGAACAGCAAAACTTCTCTTTGTAAACGAGTCTTTGCTGCTACTTGTCCTTAGTTTCCTCTCCAAGGCATATCAGTCCTAATCTAGGGTTTGTTCAGTGATTTTGATGCTGAGAAGTCTGTGTTTCCGAATCTAGGGTTTGCATAGATCTAATTTGAGCGAACGAGAGAGAAGAAGTAGAAGGAAAGGAAGTCATGGCGGATGAAACCACCCGTAATCAACTCATGAACCCGCCTTCCCGCTGAGCTTCTTAAGATACTTGACGTAAGCTCCTTGACAATTCCCCGTTAACTTCTCTCTCTCTCTCTCTCTCTCTCTCTCTCTCTCTCTCTCTCTCTCTCTCTCTCTCTCTCTCTCTCGATGCAAAGTCATTTAAGTTAATATTCCTTTGCTGCAGAATCTCTACAAGCGCCTGGTAAAGCTTGAGAAATCGGAGCTGGTCTTATACCGGTCTGTACTATCTACAATGCTGAAATCAACTATAGTCGGTGACGAATTCTTAAATCACGACGACGTCGACGTGAGAGTTGCAGTCGCTGCCTGCCTCAGTGAGACGTTAAAGTTAACTAGTCCGGATCCTCCTTATCATCATGACACGTTGGAGGCATGTTCATTGACTTGTTATAGATAATTTTATGGTGGCTTTATAGTTAGTGTTTGGTTTGCTTACTCTTCTCTTCTCTATTCGTGCACAGGATATATTCAGTTTGATTGTATCATCATTTAAGAATCTAGATGACATGTCAAGCCCCTCCTATGAGAAAAGAATCTCCATCCTTCAATCTGTTAATGAGGTCAACGCTTGGGCTGTCATGGTCGGACTTGAGTGTAATTTTCTTCTTTTTGAGATGTTCGAGATTTTCCTTAGCACTATCAGGTACTTTTATAACTTCTGAATTACTCTTACTTACCACTCAAGCTACTCACTTGTCGTCCCGCCTTCTTCAGCCGCTGAGCTTCTTAAGATCCTTGAAGTAAGCTCCTGGACACTTGTGTCAATCATTTTGTACTATCTGTAATAATATTTTGATGCCCTACCATTGTATATGGACTGGTTTTCTTGAATCTGTTAAATGCGGCTGTGATTTTGGGGAGCCCTATAATTGAATATTATTCCTCTTGCATGCAGAACATTTCCAAGTGCCTGTTAAAGCTACAAAAAGCGGAGATGGAACCGGAGTTTGACTTATATTGGTTCGTACTCTTTAAATCGATGAGAGTATTAACCAAGGAAGATATCTTAAACCACGAAGACGTCGACGTGAGAGTTGCAGCCGCTGCCTGCCTCACTGAGGCCATGTATTTCACATCTCCGCATTTTCCTTTTACGCGTCAAGAGTTGAGGGCATGTTCTTGTTACCCATGTTTTTTCTTCTCTTTAGGAAATGTGGCATTATGGTGTTTGGTTTGGTTGCTTACTCTTGTCTATTCATGGACAGGATGTATTCATTATAATGGCATCATCATTTGAGGGGCTTGATGACATATCTAGCCCCTCGTATGAGAAAAGGATATACATCCTTCGAAATTTTGATGAGCTCGACCTATGGAGGATTCCGGTTGGACTTTGTTATTATCAACCTCTTGCGAAGCTTCCTCAGACTTTCCTTACCACTATAAGGTACGTGCCAATAATTTTATGCATATGTTTGATTCTTTTTTTAACTTGACGTACTTATTATCCTCAATAGTTTACAGTAGGACTCTATAAATTAATAATGTTAGAACCATGATATTTTATTAATTTAGTGAATTATTAATTTATAGAAAGATAATTTGAATCAAAAATTTAGTTTGGGACCAGAAAATTAGTTATTAATTTATCGAGTATTAATTTATAGAGTTTTTACTGTATTTCTTTTGATTCATGCATGATGTTGTTACACATTGATGATGAACTTATGTTGGTATTTTAGGGAGCATCATCCAAAGGAGGTATTTGAAGCTATGAGGGACATGATCATAGGTGTTGTACCATATGTAACTGATCAAGCGCTTACAACAATTCTAACTTATCTTAGAAAGGGTGCTGAGGTGGTGATACGTATTGTATTGATGGTCTTGCTAATTTTTGTTGTTGTTGTTGTTACAGCAAAACAGACAAGGCCCTTTTTGTTTTTAAACTCCTTTCTTCTTCATGCTCCTCCTCAGGTTCCCCAAGTATCACGGAAGTTGGCAGAAGAAGCTCTCAGTAACTTTGATAAGTTTAGCTATACCTTGACCAACTTCAAAAAGAACCTGATTCATGCAGTGATATCTTCGGGTTTCTCTTTAGAAGATTATAGTGACATAGTGGCTAAGATTTGTGGAGGCAAACTACAAATGTTTACGTTATGGCCACTAATCGGCTAGAGAATTAAAAAAAACATGAGAGAATATTCAAGCAAGTTGTCTTTTGAAATGATATAATTAGTGGTCGCTGTAATAGTGTGTATACTTTCATATAATTAGTTTATTAATTTGTCATTTCAAAACAAAAAAGAAAAAATTAGTTACAGTTTTCAATTCCTGCAAAGTCTTCGACCGTGTGACCAACCTTCTCGAACTTCCCTGTCTCATTACTCTCCCTAAACCTCATATAATCCCCACACTCAAATGACCGAAATAACCTCATACTCGTACAACCTCCCACGATTTCTTCAGGGGCAAACACGGCTTTGCCATCGTCAAAACACCAGAAGAAAGCGAGGGAGAATCTATTACCGACGAAACCACGTCGTTTCAATACAACTCTGTGTTGGGACGATCTCAGCCGTCCGTTGGTCCAAGCATGCAATAGATCTCCAACGTTGACCACTAGAGCTTCGGGTTTAGGGTTTATATCCATCAGACCAATCCCATCTCTGGATCGAACCTGAAGACCTCCAATGTCGTCTTGATCGACGATTGTGATGCAGCTCATGTCAGTGTGCATTCCTAGCCCTTCCACATCTTCATCTTCATCTTGTTCACCTTGTTCTTGATCTTCTTTCAAGGGGATTGTGTAGTTGTTGATCCTGAAGTATCCATGGCAGTTTCCGAATTCAGATTCGTAATATTTGTGATGAAGATCGTCACTGAAGCTGGCAAGAATGGCTTTCATGATTTTCTCGCATAGTTCCGTCATCTTTTCTCCATATTCTTTCATCAAACCGCTAGAAAAGTACATATCTTTAACATTAAAACGATAAGAAGATCACATTACTAGTCATATTAATCATTAAACTTTACCAAACGATTCAAGATTTTGGTCAGCTTTTCTTACCCTTAAATATTTTTTCCAGTCATCTTCTGTTGCGCCGAAAGTACGAGAATTTGGATCCCATTTCATGATAGGAGAGCCAACAACTTGACACCAAATCTTCCAGGCCTTCCTCGTGCAGTCCCAGTGGTTTTTCAGCTGAGCTCTAGAGTAGTTTTTCCCACTGTTTTGATTGATAGTCTCAAGCATCGCTCTCCAGCTCTCCTTTGGATAATGCGTGTCAGGTCTGTTTCCTTTATAAGTCTCCTCCACCAACAAGTCCACAAACAGCTCGTGCGAGGCCGGTGACCAATACCCTTTAGACTGAGGAGTCGAGAAGTTAGACGCTATTTGCATATCATCACCAGTATCAACTTCCTCTGCTACTTCTTCTTCTTCTTCTTCCCCTTCATGGTGCCTGCTTCTTCTCTTCCTCTTGTATTGACTAGAACCACCTTCATCATCATCATTATCTCTACCGTCAATGTTCACACCTTCAAAGATCATCTCTAGCTTCTTCAGATACATTGGAGGACTCAGCCGATACTGTCCAGCATCAGGATTCACCTATCAACAAACCCAAATTCAATGTCACACATATACATAGCCTTAAAAGAAACACTCAAATTCTTTGTGTGTACCTGTAAATAGTTGCCCCAGTCTTCATCAGTGGCACCAAAAGTGTTGGTCTCAGGATCCCATTTCATGTCAGGGCATTGAACAAGCCTACGCCAAATCTTCCACTGCTTGCACATTGTGTCCCAATGGTTCTTTAGCTGCTTCTTGTTGAATCTTGCACCCGTCGTCTGCTGAAAAGGCTCCAGTATGTGCTGCGTTCCAGGTTTGTTCCCAACCAGCTTCTGCTCGACGCATAAATCCACAAAGACTCTGTGGTAATCTGGTTCCCACTCGGCTTTCGACTTCATCATTCTTTACGCTATACAAACCAACAAAACATAACTTCATTTCCAAAACAAAGATCACATATAGATTCATTATCACATTAAATTAATTAAACTGAATTTGCTTTACTTGGAAACGTATAAGAGTTAATCATCAATTGCAAATTTAACATTTTTTCACAAACATAATTGAACAAATACATCCACGAGACTATAAAGGAGAGAAATTTAGATCAACATGAGCTATATAACAATGAATTTGAGCTATATCAAAAGGGGAATTTTGAAAAAACGACTAGATCGAGAGCTCATTCATGTGATGTGACAATTATGCTATTTAGGGTTAGCTCTTTACACTAGATCGACTGCTATTTTACCCCCAATGAAACCCATTTCGAGACTCGCGGTTATTCCTTTGAGGAGGAAAATCGCGAAATTGGGTACCGCACGAAACACTAAACGCGTAACGATGGAGAGCCATCAGAGAACAATACTCATGTGTGTGGCCGGAGAAAAAAAAAATATAAAGAAGAGAGAAAAAAAATGTAAAACGTTTACCGGAATTAGAGAGAGCGATCTGATGGCCACAGTGTGGCGGTGTGGCTGAAGAAGCCGATCGCGATTTTGCCTCGCTCTTTCTCTGATTTTGGCGTTTGTGCCGCTCGGGTCGGAGCTTTCTGCATTTGCTTTTCTCTGAATAATAGGCCCAATTATATACCGGTTAACCCGGTTCACTTTATTTGGTAATTTTTTTATAACGTTGACAACAGGTTTCAAGTTTTAACCAAAAAGCTTGTTGAACAGATTTAGTCTTCAATTTATTTAAATCATAATGGCCATTTTTAGTGTTTTTAGTCATTTTCTTAGTGGTAGAAAAACAAATTTGATACATATTATAATATTTTGTAGTATTTAATTTAATTAGATTTACCACAACTTTTTTTAATTACATGTACAAGTGAGATTGGTTTCATCAAAACCAATTACCATTTGATTGACTCTGCCAGAAACAAAAGTTACAGTGTTGTGAAGTACCACCTTTTTAGAAAATGACTAATAATACAGTTTATCAATTTAGAAACACAACATTAATTATTTAAGAGTTTGGTTTTGTATGCTGGGAATATCCATTTAACCACCAAACTATATCTAACATTACCATACTTCAAATCAGAGATAGAATTATTCAAACCTCACTTTTCTTGCATACATGCACAATATATACAACAATTTATGGATTACCCTTTATGATTGTGTGATTGGATTATCATAGTCAAGTATGCTCTCATGTTCTCTGGAAAATATTGAAATGTTATGATTTGACAAGACATTGTTACAGAAGAATGACTAATTTTGTCGTCTCTATTAGCTCTTTGTTTTGCTCTCTCCCTTTTAGTCAATTCTCTAGTCGAAGAAATCTATGGCCAATTGACAATGCAACAAGTTAACCACCCAACCTATGGCTCTATTTAAGAATATATGAATCCAACCTGTGACTTCTAATCATAGTCCAGTAAAACCGAGAGCATAAGTTGGATTTTCACAGCCGGTTAAAAAATAAAAAACTTGTTCCTTTTCCATTAATTAATCAGTTGCTGTAAATGTTGATATCACAAAACTACATGTAAAGAATATGACAAAAAAAAGCTAAACCGAAGTTAGTCTTAGAACAACCTAAGACCCAGAGAACAAACAAAAAGAACAAAGAAGGAAACAAAAATCACTTATTTGTGAAGTCCTCTAAATGATTGCTGTTGGTACTCTGATCCTTTGGTGTTTGTTGCTTTACACATGTTTTGCTTTTGGTTCCAATGATGCTGCTGCTGTCTAAGGCCTTTTGTATCACACAGCAAAAGAAACTTGCCTGTATTTTTACCCGAGGGACCGAACAAATACAAAAAAGAAGAAGATTTCTATGATTTGCTTCGTTTCTTGGCTTCGCTGTAGAGGATAACTCCACAGACCGTGAGCGAGTAACCTAACATTCCAGTCACTGAGACTGGATTCTTGAATATTAGGATCGAAACCACCACTGCTACTGCTCCTTTTGCGTTTCCTAGCACCTGTCACAGAGAAGTTCATCATTAACTTAATAACTTATAAGAGATGGTCACACGCAGAATGGCTTTGGATGGTTACCTGAAGAGTGAGAGCACTGGTGTGTTTCGTGACTAAGAAATTGGTCAAGTTCACGAAATAAGCGAGCGCCGAATTGAATAGCAGATACCAAACGATTCTAAAATCGTCTCTGGCAAGTGCAATCGTAATCCCAACAACGTTCTTCTCCATGATAAGGGTAGCAGGAAGAAGGAACACAACAGCTATGGGAGCCATGTAGAGGAGGAGGTTCATGGAGTTTAGCTTCTCCCTTCAAACAAATTTCAAGTAAATAGTTTCAGCATCACTTCTTAACAATACAGACTTCTGGAAAGATGAAACTTTAACTGATAAATCTGGCGTCTTACCCTTCTGAAGATAGCAAAATTCCTTGAAGAACTGATTTAAGTGCTCTCGCAGCCGTGGCTGCAATGCACATTATGAATCCAAACAAGTGGAAACTTGGCTCACCCTAACCATACATGAAAATTGAGGCAAATCAGATAGAGAAGAGTCAAGCCAAAATAGAAAAATGAAGCTCTGTATGACAACAACTATACAAACGCATAGAAAGAGCAACTTCTCTTCTAACTAAACCTTTTGTGCACAGCAGATAAAGTTCATACTGTGATGTGACTGAGATAAAGTAATGGACTTAACAGTATTTCAGCATCTTCAAACATCAACATCCAAATATGAAACGAATCAACCAGATTTAGCTCATAACCTTTTCTACTTTCACATTTCTATCTCCCTAAAGATACAAATTTCGTCAGCCGTAACAACACTTTTGCAGCAGAACCACCAATCTCATTGCATATAAGCCAAATCAAAAGTACAAAGGCAGAAGCACATATTTGAATTTGAAGAAGCGATTTACCCCACTGGCAATGACAACGCCGGTAACGACGGGGAGGAGAGTGAAGTAAGTCAACCAAGCCTCCCTCTTGCTCGTTATCAGAAAAGCGAACACGGCGGTGAAAAACGGCGTCGTGGCGCCGATCGCCTGGTTAAACGAAACCGGAAGAAACCGGAGGGAAATGTTCCCGAAGACCACCGACACGCAGAAAACGAGGCTCAGCGCTGCGATCTTAAGGAACTGGACTCGGGATCGGATGGTTTGCATCGGGACCATCTTCATCCAAGCGATAGCGACGTAGCTGAGGAGAGAACACGCCGTCATGTGGCACATGGTGAGGAAGATCGGGTACTTGAAGCCGTAGTTGCTCAGCAAGTATTTGTTAAGCAACAGGACTCCGATGTTCGACGAGTACCACGACGCGACGAGTCCGATTGTGAAAAACCGGCCATTGGCCGCCATCTTCATCCTCTGAAACCCACCGATCTGATCGTTTCTACTGAAATCAATCAAAAACCCTACACAAACCTCCACGGATTACGCCCAATCGATCTCTCCGCCTTTGGGGAAGGAGATCTTCGGACACAGATTCGACGCGTATAGCTTATTCAACCGATCACAAGCACAAGGAGAATGCTGGAATCTCTGCGATTGGAGAAGAAGAAGAAGGAGAAGGAAAGGTCAATGAGAGATTTTGGGTTAAAGCTTACAACAACAACGCCTCTTCCTCTTTCTCTCCTCTTCGTCTGTTTAAAAAATTGAAAAATACTCTTCTTTTTGTTTGTGGGAGTTTAAATGCGTTATGCATTTTTATAAGCGCTTTTAAAGATTTCAGTTTCCGTAATATTAATTCAACAATTAGTGCATTTTTATTTTAATGGACTTTCCTCGAATAATAATCAAAGTGGAAGATATGTGTGTGAACGAAGGAAAGGAACGTCTGACTTGTGAGTTTTGACTTCTTCCGTTCTTCATTATAATATAAACCGTGTAACTACCGTTTTTTTTTTTTATTATTCAATTCAATTTACAGTTGTTTGGCTTTGGAATTACATGAACAAACTGATACTATATATTATCGTTGGGTAACATAAAATTATTGACTATATTTTTGATTACCAAAAACAACATAAAATTAGTTCTATAATACAAATGAGACGGTCGCTTCTAGTTTCTAGATTCCGGAGAGCTTCCACTGTCGGTACCTTGGAATATTTAATTCAAAATATCACACTCTGATTCACTATAAAAGTCAACAAAAATTAGATCAAACACGGAAAGAAAGAAGAAACAAAAAGGAATACAGGCAACCATCATTTCAAATCCTAAAAGAATTAAATTTTGCTTATAATACGTGTTATCCTAATCTTAAAAGAAATAAGATTTAAGAGGGGGTTATAGAAGAAGGAGCTTAAACTGTAAATCAGTAATAGACACAAAACAGTCAAGCAACTAACAAAACATATTCATATTTATAAGATGGCCCGATTTTCTTAGAGACCGACACTATAATCTCTGAAAATCCTTCAACAAAAATCGCCAAACACATATGATTGACTCTAATTCAAAGTGGTATTGTCTGAAGGTCATTTTAAATGTCCTTTCATAATAATGTTTATTTTCTTAGAAAACTTAACCTAAATCATTATTCTGTATAGTAGTTTCATTTTCAAGGGTTTCTTAAAAAATTATGTTCTCAAACAAAAGACATTAATATAATTATTATTCGGACCAACCAAACTTCTGAGTTTCAGTTACTCAAGGCTAGCTTTAAATAGTTATAGACAAGTCGTTGAAATGTCGTCGATTGCTGGTTCGGTTCTCATAAACAATTGCTATTTCTTGCAATCACTCAAATATTCCTTCCATTTTTATTACTCCAAAATCGCAAATACTTTTACAAAAAAAAAAAAAAAAAAAAAAACCCGCAAATACAGTACAAATTAATAAGAATATTCATGAGGCCCTATTAAAAAATGACTTGGAAAATGAATAATTAAAATTTAGCGAGAAAAAGGATTGAAAGTGTTAAAGAACTTTTTAGCTTGTTCCTGAAACGACAAATACGACA